TATCGCCTGTTCTGCGTTGTCTAGTACAATATGAATGTCGAATGCGTCGTTGTTTTCGTGAATGCTTGAAGATGTCATTAATAAAATGCGCGAGGTATGTTCTGTGGCGCGGCCGGCGCGATTATCAGACGGCATTGTTCCTCATACGTCACTGATAGCGAATCGACCAGCCTAATTGGGAGAAGCATCGAGCTTGGGATTTTTTAGATAACAAACACCTCACATTAATTTGTGTCTTAATATATTTACACCAGTTTAAGATTTTTCATAAATATCTTCACAAAATCCAAAAAAAAGTGTCATGAAACTAATTTAATATTTACTATTGGTACTGGCATATACATATTTCCCCTACTATATTAATGCTGATGAACACTTAATATCCACAAACCATCTAATCACTACGATCACCAGAATCTAAGGATTGATCAAGTACGTACAACATTAGGTAAACAATATTATGAAAGTAGGAGAAAGTGTAAATAAAATATATTCATTCAAAATAAAATATAATGCATCCGTTATCAAATATTTGTTATTCAAACATCAGTAGGATTCGTGCGTTTAATAATCGAACGAGTCCGAGATCGAGACAAATAATAGCAGGAAGCGACTGGCCGCGGACCATCGGCGGGCTGAGAGTTGTGATCGTGGAGACTCGCTTACATACACACGATACGATATGTAAATATTAGTATTACGATTTAGTGAATTAACAGTATGACGGCGCATCCGTCAAAAATCATACGTCAGGTTGACTTTTAGCTGTCTGAGGTTAGCCTAGTGAAGCGTCATTGTCGTTGGTAGCGAGGGCGGCCATCTTTATTGGACAGTTTCGTTCGGGATGACGCCCGCGCACCGCGCTCGTGACGAATCGCTGTGTATCGAAGTGATAGTTATATCTAGTGTTTCGATTGAGTTGGTGTCGTATTGAATAGACTGTACTTTATCCCTTTCAAAGTATGAGTTCCCATGAAGGCCCTCCTGTTCTTACAACGCCCTCCTACAAGTATATCAAGCTAAAAAAAACATAGACATTTACTAAGCGTTGAGTTTTTGTTCATAAAAAACGGTAAACATTTCGTGTGTAGTATGATGATACAAACTTGTTCTAAGCATATTGAAGGAATGTGAAAATCATAGTACGTAATTATTGTTTGTTCTAACAAATTAAACAAATGCAATAATCGGATGTTTTATTTATTAATTTTACATATTTATAGCATAAACAAAACTAATAACCTTCAATTCACCAAATATGTAGACAGACCTCACGACGCGTGTGAAGGCGGTGTTGTCTAAGATTTATGAGAGCAGATTTTCCATTAGTCGGTGCGGAGGAGAGCCGAACGCCAGTTAATTATCTGAATACACAGAGAGATGCTGTAACGACGCGGACTCACTTTCAACACACGAGGAGATGAGTCCCAGTGGATCGTGAACATCTCGTGACTCACATTACTATATCGCCTTTTAGATTCATTGCTCCGAAATTTTATGAAACATCTTGTGGTTCTTTATTTAAATTAAATTCAGAAAATGAAAGGAAAATATCATTCATTAAATATTTTGACTCAATAGAACGTATTGTTTTAGCCATGTCAAATAACCTAGAAATTAGTCTTGGCGCTTATTATTATGACAGACTAAACACCATGTTAATTCAAATCCATCTGCATTCTGCCATGCTATTTGCATTTTTTACCTAAATGAAGAACAGTGAACTATCTGCTTACTATACAGATACTGTAAACAACAAACAATTTTACTGAAATGAATAAATAATGAAAATAAATGTTTTATAATAGAACTTGTTTTTGCCCGCGACTTCGTCCGCGTTAGTTTGGTCAAGAGTAATATATGTAGGTATAGCTGACCAGTCGAACTCTATTCCGTCTTAGAAGCCATAAATTATCAGGTTTTTTCTGTTTCAATCAAACAGAATTGACATATTACATAGTTAGTTGTCAAATCTAATGTCGAAAAAAAACGTTTCTATGGGAAATAGAAAAGGGCTGTTTTTAGGGTTTTCCCGGCAATTATTCCAATTTTTCTCACCTTTTAAACCTTCCCTGGACTTCAAGGAGTATTTCAAGACTAAAATTAGCCAAATCGGTTCAGCCGTTCTCGAGTTTTAGCGAGACTAAGGAACAGCAATCCATTTTTATATATATAGAAGATAGATTATATACCTACGTGAACACTAAAAAAATATACAATTGTGTTATGAGGACAAATAATTTTAAATACACTAGAAGGAATTAATTATTAAATGATGTAATTTTTCACAATGCTCACCATATGTTGTTATTTGTCTAACAGATCTATAATATTCGACTTTCCTATACAAACCAATACGTCTTGTTATTTTTATTAAAAAGGCAACATTAATTTATTCGACATTTAGTTTTAGCTTTATGTCTATCTATTTCCTAATACACAGTTATTTCAAGTGACTAGTTATTGTAGATATGAAATCTTTATTTATATAATTCTTCTACGAGTGTGTATGTCACTGAATTTCTCTCAAACGACTGGACCGATTTTGATGAAATTTTTTTGTGTGTGTTCAAGGGGATCTGGAAATGGTTTAGATTCACAATTTTGTCCGCTGGACAATGTTTTTTTAAATTTATTAGTAGTTGTTGACACAAACGTTTTTATTTTTGACATTAAATTTGACAACTAACTAATATGTCAATCATTCTGTCGCACATTTAGGCTTACTAGGTAAACTCCAAAAATAAAAAAAAAAACCTAACAGATATTTCTTGATTATAGGGCGATACGAAGTTCGCCGGGTCTTCTAGTCTAATATATAAAATTCTCGTGTCACAGTTTTCGTGCCCATACTCCTCCGAAACAACCTGACCGATTTTGATGAAATTTTTTGTGCTTATTCGGTAGCTATGAGAATCGGCCAACATCTATTTTTCATCCCCCTAAATGTTAGGGGTAGTCCACCCCTAAATATTTTATTTTTATTTTTTAGACAAAATTTTTAATTACTATTTTTTTATGATACAACGTACAAAAATACATACAATCCTAAATTTTCACCCTTCTACGATCAACCCTTATTTTTTAATAGCTATTTTAGTAATTTAATCATTTTTCATCTCCGGTCGATAACTGATCAATCGTCATTTAATAAGTTATCCCCGCCAGATATCTACAGGTGTCACTTCTGACCCAGTAAACAGCACGGAGTAGGGATGAGAACGAAGCCGGTCTTCTGTTTCTCTCACACAATTAGACTTCTCTCACTCCCTACACAGTTGTCGGCCATCGTTATTGTTTGTGCATCAAGTGTAGTAGTAACGTTGACAATTATTATTTTGCTAGCTCAGTGTAACTCTCATATTAACTATTAATCATTCCTAATCACTTCAAAACACGGAGATTTATGGCTTTAATAGGTAAACTCCAAAAATATAAATAAAAAAACGTAACAGATATTTCTTGATTATAGGGCGAAACGAAGTTCGCCGGGTCTTCTAGTATTATATAAAAATTTGATAGTCTCAGTCTGCAACAACAACAAATGTTTTATTTGTAGCATATTGTTATATAATTATTTTGATAGAAAAAACTTATTTACATTTACAGTTTTTTCGTTCATCTACAGTACGTCGCATTACTGTCGATCAAGCTGAGTTAAAGAGAAAGACACTCATGAGAGCAGTTGAGGTAAATATCTCGGTACCAATGACTTGCATCGATTGACCACGCAACATTTTATTTAATATATACAGGGTGACTGGTGACTTACTATCGATACTTGAGGACGTGATATTTGACGATCATATATGACAAAATAAAAATTAATATGACATAAATATTAATAAACTTCTAAGTAAAATTAACCAAAAGTTATGTAATTAATTACGCATCGTGTGAACATCCTACAGATTAGGTATACAGACACACACACACGCGTGCGGCGGCGTGGTGTTGTATCAGCACGCCGCCGCACGCGTCCACACTTGGAACACTTGGAACGTGTCCACACTTTATTTATTTATACGGAAGTTTGGTCAAAAATTAAGTACCTATTTTTTTACATAATTCGAATGAGAATCATGTACCAAGTATTCTCCTTAAATAATATTGATAGTAATTCACCAGTCACCCTGTATAATACGTACCCCGTTACACATATGTATATAAAATATATTTGGCTAATTTGTCTACTCCTAATTAACTCATAAGGGTAATCTCAAAATTTTTTGATTATTAAGACAAGATTTAAAATTAGCAATTTTTTTAATCCTACATGGGAGTACTTATCTGCATCATTCGTAATGTGTAGTATAAATAAAAGTGTTACTTGCCTAGTGAATTCAGAAAAAAATCTATACCCTTTTTTACTTTATAACAAAAAATATTCAATGAATTAAGTTTCACAATCATAAAAGTATGATAAGTCTCATAATATTAAAAGTAGTCACTACTCACCTACATTTCAGTATCAATTCTATAATTTAGTAAGAGAAATTAGAATGACTCGTTTCAAGAGTTCTAAACATATAGTAATTATTTAAAAAGTTACAAAGCAAAACTTTACATCTAAACGTTATATTTTTCATACTTTCCATTTGTATTTATAGATAATATAGGTTATTAATAGATGCATTAATGTTTTTAACGTAATTATTGCATCAATAATATTTCATTAAATTGCAGAAGATCCAGAATATTTTATTTGTAGAATATTTTCTAGGAAATCAATTTCTACATTATTTTATTTAATAAACGAATCACAAATCACTCTATACGCTAAAAGACTCGATGCTAATGACTGCAGTATAACAGACATGGCTTCACTTTTCCAAGCGCTGTCAAACATGACATAATTAATAATTATATATTTTAAATGTGTTACTTCTCATTAAACTGTTTCAATTCTATTTTATAAATGAATTGTGTCACATTTTGAAGTGAATAATAAGTTAAATATAATATAAGACTCTAATAACAGGTTACATCTAAAACAAAACATGGACGAGTTAGAAAAACTAAGTTGTAGTAAGATTATCATCGGTAGTGATATAAAACATCAAACAGTATGTAATACGCTACAATAATTTGTTGCAGAGGAAGAAATATGCGACGTGAGTGATATGGAACATTCGGCAACCGACGATCACAAGGTAACGGAAGGGAAAATAAAGAAGAGGCGAAGAAGGCGAAGGGAGATTGATTTAGTAGGTTTTGGCAGTTTTATGTAAATTTAAAGCGCGTTTAATGTTGTAATGAACTAATACAGTAAATATTATATATAGATTTCTGAAGACGATGAAACAGAAGATGATGATATACCCAAGAAAATGTACCGCCGGATCAGCCCGGGCCCGGGACCCATATCGCCCGCATCCCACAGAGAACCGCGCACTTGTGTTTTAAAAGTAATATATTAAATTAATAATTTTTCTAAATGCTCTATTTACAGACAGCACGTCATATTTCAGGCTAGCCAGAAGCGGAAACCTCTATCGCGGCTCCTAGAACAACTACTTCGGAATCTTGAGAAGCGTGATCCAAACCAATTCTTCGCCTGGCCAGTGAATGACAACTTTGCCCCCGGCTACTCCACCATCATCAAGAAGCCCATGGACTTCTCAACAATGAAACAGAAGATTGATGATAATGAATATAAATCATTGAATTGTTTTATAGTAAGTTTATTATGTGGACTATTACTACACTTTCTCAGCCACATCTATTTAACTGAGTTTATGAAATAAGATTTTATGTAGTAACTAGCTGGCCCGGCAAAAGTTGCTTTGTATATAAAAAATAGGGATTAGTGATTTCAAAAAATTTTTTGGGTTGTATGTACTTCTTAATGTTTCATAATTTAAAAAAATTTAAACAAAAAAGTTTCTCCAAAAATAAAATACAAAAAAATGAAGGGTGAACAACCCTTATTTCTTAGGGGTGTGAAATATAGATGATGGCCAATTCTCAGACCTACTCAATATGCTGACAAAATTTCATCAAAATTGATCATACCGTTTTGGAGGAGTTCTCTGTCTAACACCGCGACATGAGAATTTTATATATAAGATAATATATAAAAATATCACAATTGGATATCACAATTTGCATAGTTAAGAGACTATAAATACAAACTAATTCTAATTTCAGAGTGATTTCAAGCTGATGTGTAACAATGCAATGAAATACAATAAACCAGGAACGGTATACCACAAGGCGGCAAAAAGATTGTTGCACGCCGGCCTCAAACAACTGACTCCACAGAAACTGAGGCCGCTGGGGGACATCCTCACCTACATGTACGAGATACCTCTTAGAGAACTCGGCTTTGACATCGGCAAAATGGATGTGGTGAGTCCCACGCAACAAGATTCAACGGTAAATCTTTGCAGTGTATTATAGCTGTAGATCGTTTTAATACTCCCTAGATCACTCCTGGGTTTCTTTAAGTTTTGTTTTTCCTTTATTTTATTATGATTTTATGCTGCAAAGATATGCTTGTTTTTAATTTTTGCTATATAAGTAAATGATGGAAGTCGCTTCAAATCGATGGATTATTGCTACAATGTATTTTAACAGAAGCTACCTAGTGATATTGACCTTTTATACGACGAGTGCATCTCAGATGTAATATGAATACATATATTTTATAAGACTGATAGTGTATTTTGATCATTGTATACAAGTTTATGTTTTGCACTGCAGCCGTTAAGGACGTACGGTCGGAAGGTTGGCATTATAAGTATACTATGTAGTGACATGCACGACGGTTGGTACATGTGTCACTACAGAACAATACTGACATCTTTGAAGGAACAAGACTCCCAGTTGAAGTCCTCATACACAAGTCACGATGAGTCGGTCGCTCTAGATGTCTGTATTGTTCTGTACAGTCTGCACTGGCCTTTACGTTAGTCTGCTTCATACCCGAGTGAATGTTGTGTTTAGTAGAGAAGTGCATTTAACAGTGCAGACATGCATGTTGATGTGTGTAGATCAATACCGGGAGTCTCTTAGAACCGTCCAGTGACGATTCATTTCAACGTCGCCGGCTAGATGTGCATGTCACCCGCACCGCACCTTTGTTCTTTAAGCGTCAAAGCTGACCGGTCTTAGATACGGTTCTGTTGACACCACGGGCGGCTCCCGGCTGGTCGATAATGATCTCTATGTGGTCAGCATAAGGTGCTGAAGAGGAGCAGTCCCGTGAAGAGCGGCGGAGAGGAGGAGGCCGCCTCGGACGGGGGGGAGACGGGCGACGGAGGGGGGGACGGGGTCAAGATACAGATGGAGGCCGCCAGGGAGCAGCACCGGCGGAGGCTGGCCAAGAAAGGTACTAGATGACACACGGGCGACGACCGACCGAGGGGGGGTGAGAGGGGGGGGATGTTGTTATAGACACTAGCTTACATTTAGTGCAGTGAAATGCCCAAATAATGAACTTGCAGCCTTCCCCCGTATGGACGCAGAAGGAAAGACCACGCTGAAGCTGGTCACTCACACCGTGGACGGCAGCGGAGAGGACAAGCCGCTCACATTGGGACAGTACATCGGGAAACTGACCCAGGGCACGGGCTCCTTACACAGTGAGTACTGACACTATATACGTGTACACAGACATTAGCACATACTGTGTTGTAATTAAATACTTCCTAATAGTTTTAAAAAGCTCTATTTACTTCAAACCTGTTCCTCTTCCCCGCAGTCCCTCGCGAGGATCGTCGCAACATCGCCAAGTGCGTGAGGCCGCTCCACTACGGTCCATTCAGCTCGTACGCTCCCTCGTACGACGGAACCTTCGCCACGCTCTCCAAGGAAGAGTCACACCTCGTGCTGCACACGCTGCGTGAGTACACACACACGCACACAAACACAGACACACACACAAACACAGACACGCACAGACACATCATCTTCTGGATGTGAGGCTTGTTAAAATACTTAGATTAAACCTTAAATAAAACCCTTTTTTAATGACCTCCGTATACTTAATCAACCTTCAACCGACATAACTATGATACGACTATTCACACAAAGATTAACAATATATTGCGCTTTAAAATAGATTATACCATTTACTTATATTCAACATGAGTCCTTAAATTTATAATCTTACAACATATAGCTTAAATAATACAACATTCATCATGACTAAACTTATAAACTTTTACATTGCTATCAATATAATCTTATACCAAACTAATATTTTATCTTTTACTTTACTAAATTAATTTTAAGTGTAACCTGTTTTTCAAAAACTTTTTCTTATTTAAACTTTTAGTTAACATGTCTGCCAGGTTACTTGTACTATCAATTTTCACAATATCAATTATTTTATTTTCATAGTTCTCATTTATATAGTGATACTGCACTTCAATGTGCTTTGAGTTTTTTGTAGTATTACCATATTATTTGCAATTGCACCTGAGTTATCAACATAAATTTTTATTGGGTTACAAAACTTTATATCAAATGATTCACTTAACAAGTTCTTTATAAAAAGTACTTCTGTCACTGCCTCTGACATAGCAAATTATACTCTTTAACGGTTGAACATTTAGTTACTGTACACTGTTTACGTGTTTTCCAAGAAATTAAGTTTCCAAACAATCTTATAACAAAACTGGTTGTAGACTTTCTATCTGCATTGTCTCCTGCAAAGTCAGAATCTACCATACAGTCCAATACATCAGAATCCAAATTATCATAATATGTTAACTTTAAATCCTTAGTTTTATACAAATATTTTTAAATTCTCAGAATATACTTGAAATGTGTTGCATTATAACAAGATTGATAACGACTCAAATAATTAACGCTATATGCTACATCTGGCCTTGTGTCTGTACTTATATACAATAATTCCCCTATTATATTTCTGTTTTTAATACTTTCATCTACTTCTCTAGCTTGTTCTAGCTTTAAATTTGTTTCCATTGGAGTATCATACAACTTAGTATTCTGAAGATCATATTTAGAAGCCAATGATTCAATGTACTTTGTTTGGTTTAAAGTCATTATGTTTTTATCTTCACTATATTCAATATCTATACCAACGTAACTTTTAATTTTTCCTAAGTCTTTCATAGCAAATCTTTTCATTAAACTAGTTTTTACTTCTTCTATCTTCTTTTTATATTTACAACAGATCAAAAAATCATCAACAAATATGAATATGTATATTGGATCTTTGCTTGCTTTATTGACATATTCTTACAAAACTTAATGTTTTAACAAACTCATTGAAACAATCATACCACACTCTTGGACTTTCTTTGAGACCATAAAGTGCCTTCTGCAATTTGTAAACTTTATTATTATCAGTGTAATAACCTTCTGGTTGATTTACATATACTTCTGACTTTACATAAGCATTTAAAAAGGCTGTTTCTACATCCATTTGTTCTACAAATAAATTTTTATTACAACTGTATGACAATAAAATTTTCAAAGTTTGCATTTTTCCAACTGGTGAATAAGCATTATCGATGTATTCATCTATCTAGCTAATCTAGCTTTATACTAATTATTACTCTTCCTTTTAAAAACTCACTTAACATCTATAACTTTTTTATTTACTGGCCTTTCAACAATTTGCCAAGTATTGTTTTTATTTAAACTCTTTATTTCTGAGTCCATTGCTATTTGCCACTGTTTATAATCATTGGAGTTCATCGCCTCCTCAAACGTATTTGGTACATTTGCATCAATATGATTGACATATATAAAATGTGTAACTGGATTACCATATCTAGAAACTGGAGTTCTCTTTCTTTTTTTAGATTCTACAAGGTCGTCCTTATTATCATCTGAGTTACCACTATACAAAAGATTTTTAAGGAATTGTTAGAACTAGATTCATCTGCATCTACATTATCTTCATCACTATCATTAACTGTTTGGACCATATCTTTTGAGCTTTGGTCAATCTCTAAATCTTTATCTTGTTGATCATCTTGTTTTTCTAAGCAAATCAGATCAGTACTTTCTTCAACTACTTGTACATGTCTAGCATTAATTATTCTATTATTTAATAAAACCCGATAACTATTTTCATTATAACCCACTGAAATTCCTATTTGTGCTTTATCATACCATTTAGTTTTTCTCAAAACTTCAGGAACCCTAACAAATACTCTACTTCCATAAATTTTTAAATGACTTACATTTGGTTTTATTCCAAAGAATATCTCATACGGAGTTTTATTTTCAACTGTATTTGCAATTGTTCGGTTTTTTAAATATGCTGCAGCTTTTATAGCTTGAGGCCAATACCACCTATTAATGTTAGCTTCTCTCATCAAACACCTAGCTATGTCCATAACAGACCTATTATATCTTTCTGCTACACCATTTAATTCATGTACATAGGTTGGACATGGTAATAATTCTATACCCTTCTGCCTTATAAAATCATAAATATGTTTATTTAAATACTCTTTGCCATTATCACACCAAACTTTCTTAACTTTTCTATTAAATTTATTTTCTACTAAATTTACATTTTCTATGAAACAATTAACAACTTCAGCTTTACTTTTAATGCAAAATATCCTTGTACATTTACTATAATCACCAATAAACGTTAGGAAGTATTTTTTTCCACTATAACCAATTGTATAATGTGGACTGCTTAAATCAGTATGAATTAATTCTAAAATTTCTTTACTCTCTGTTATTTTATTCTCAAATGGTACATTTTGCTTTCAATTCAATTTGAACACTTCATTTCAGTACTTTCAATAGTATCAGGTAAACCCTCAATAAATTTATTATTTATTATTTTATTTAAATATTGAAAATTTACATGACCAAGAGCTCTATGCCATTTCTCTTTTTGAGTTAAAACTGTTGAATGTACATACATATCATTCTGTGAAACAAAATATTTAATACAATACAAATTATTTATTTTATTGGCAACACCTATTAATTCCCTAGTCTCATTATAAATTTTGGCATTTTTATTTTTTGCTATTATAGTACAAGTTTTAGTTATTTTAGAAATACTCAATAAACTTTGCTTAATACCTTCAACAAGAAAAAAAATTTTCTAACTCTTAAAATTTATAGAAGCTTTTTTTTATTTAGTAGGGAAATTCTTTTTCGAGCCGTCCAAGCGGCCTTGATGGAGCCGAAAAGGATGTGTGAGACTCAAACTGGGCTTGCCCTACTATTTTTTTTTTACAGAACATATTTTAGTAGCTTTTAACATTTTAACATCTGACAGTTTCACATTAACAGGAATTTTTTAATCTATAGAATTACAAAAATATGTATCATTATTTATTATGTGATCAGTAAACTCTCTCTCTAAAAGCCAATAAATTACACAATCATTCTTACAGTCTTCCTTTTCAACAGATCCATATACCTGATTCTTTTCTGGGTTACATACTTGAGCTGTCCATGACTCTTGATTGACAATTGGTTGAACATTCACCACTGGATTAATTTTAACCTCTGCCTCAATGACCTCTGTTGAATATTCCTCGCTGACCTCTAACACTGTGTTGTCCTTGGTAATTTTTCTGATGACCATACCAGCAGTCCTTCTTTACATGTCCAGGCTTCCCCCATACAAAACACTGAGATGTAGTTTTTGTTGCAAATGTACTTACATTATTATTGATTGAGTTACTACTAGTCACATTTTTTTTTCTTTTATTTTACTGCATACATATTACTATTTTTGTTCTTCAGGGATAACATCTAGAAAATCTCCAATATAACTGTAGCTTGATGGAGGCGCTCTCAGCATGTATCTCAATTTATCTGATTCTTCTAATTTTTTTTCGGCCAACTTGAACTCATTTACTTTTTTCCAATTCAACGAAAAATTGTTTAACTGTGCTGTAGATATTTAATTTTTATTTCTTCAATTTTTACCTCTGCATATTATTTGCATAGCTGTGGACTTGGTCAGATACATTTTGTCAAACTTCTTCATTATTTCAAACGCTGCTCGACACTCACTAATGTATTCCAGTTGTTTATCTGATATTGTGCTCATTATTATTGTCCTAGCTTTTAAATCTTTCTTTTTCCACTCGACGTCTGCGGCATCTTCATTTTTCATAATGGCGACCACGTGGCGTTCTTTATATTCTAACAAAGTTAGTAACCTTAATTTCCAACTTCAATAGTTAACCCCATCGAAAATAGGCATCATTATATCTTCTATTTTTGCTTGTTTAGCCATTTTGACGATACTTTAAGTTCTTTTCTATTTTTCGTTTTTGCCGGCTCAGCGTAACGCTAACCTTGAAATTCACGATCGTATTCACCTTTACTCTGTACTTGTAAATCTTCTTATTATACTTTATCATTGAGTTTTTTCTTTGAACCACGCTCTGCTACCATGTTAAAATACTTAGATGAAATAAAACCCTTTTTTGATGACCTCTGTATATTTAATCAACCTTCCACCGACATAACTATGATACGACTATTCACACACAGATTAACAATATATTGCGCTTTAAAATAGATTATACAATTTACTTATATTCAATAATGCTAATATGAGTGCTGTTCTCCCAGCGTACGAGACGGGTCAAGGTAACGAGGAGATGCTCCGCTTCGCGCCCGACTCTCCCTGGCAGCACATCTACGACATGGAGCTGCTGTTCCCCGACAAGAAGAACCGCCCGGAGACACCTCCGCCCAAAGACGAGGTAGGACTCGTTGGATTAGTAGCTCACACTAACACAGACTGACACAAATAAATGTCTTCCCTGTGACGAGTATTTGATACAGTGAATTCGAAGGAACTGGCACTGTACAACATTTAACAGAATTTAGACAGAGAAAGATTAATTTACACACACACGTATTAGACGGTGATGTTCCAAGGGTCGAGATATTTGGTAATATGGGGATTCTATAACCTAAACAATAATTATTTAATGTTTTCCGGAACACATTAGACGCTGGTGGAATTTATATATACATATGTTTCAGAGTCAGGAGTTGTCAAAGGTGAAGATCGACATCGAGGAGCTGCGGTCGCTGGCCTCGCTCGGCATCGACGTGGACTTCCTCAACGACCTGGAGCACGCCACCAAGGACTACGGCCTGGGGCCCGCGCTCAAACATACCTACGGCCTGCTCGCCGCGCTCGAGAAGGAGCAGAGGGAACGGTGAGAGAGACACACACACACGCACTCTGGACTTTTCATCTTTATATATAAAAGAAAGTCGTGTTAGTTACACTATCTATAACTCAAGAACTGTATGGGTTTAGCTTAATATTAGTGGAGAGATAGTTTTGTTTAAAAAAAGTCTATTGTGGTTAATTACTGGGTTTGAAGGAACGTCTTTGTAGCTTTAAGTCGTATTTAATAATATTAGAAGATTTTAACATAGCATAATGAAAGCTTGGGTCAATGGGTGGTCCACCATATTTGGATGGATACATGAGATGTTTTATAAAGGAGACTTTTCACTAGACTTAATTCTATAATAGAGCATACACACTATATTTATTACACTTCAAAAGATATAGGATACTTTTCATCTGATTGAAAAAGGAAAAAAATAATAATCTTTTTATCTACTGTCTACAGAGTTCGCCCGGTCAGATATACTAATTCAGGAGTTAATTATACATATAATTTGTTGATGGTTCCAGTTTATCAGCGTCGTCTCCGTGGCACCTGTCGCTGGTGTGCGGCGCGGGCCCGGCGGAGCGCGAGGCGGCGCGGGCGGCGGCCGGCTGGCTGAGAGCTATGGTGGCCAGGGTCCCGCCCAAGGAAGTCGCCACACACGCCGCGCTCAGGAACGCTATGGGCGTCACACTCGAACATCTAGGTGAGGAAAAACGGGAGATAATAGAAAAACTATAATCGAAGTACAGTAGAAACTCGATTATCTGGCCCTCAGTTATACGGATTCGCGATTATCCGGACTACGGACAAGTCCGGACAAGAAAAAATGTCAAAGCGTAAGAGAGTGGTGTTGTTGAAAGCGGCGTACGTCAAATGACAATTACCAAATATTGTATACCAAATTATACTTATTATTTTTATTCATGATTGCAAATTACCAAATATATATTCTTATTTATTTTTTAAATAAACATACAATATTATGTACTGCATATGCACAAAACCGTCTTTTCTTCATACATTCGGTTATCCGGATTTTCGATTATCGGAATGCCTATCGACAACAATTAGTCCGGTTAGTCGAGTTTCTACTGTAGTTTGATTTACACTTAGTTACATGAGATCAAAAGAAAAGATCCGTTCAAATCGCTCTAGTCATTTCAGAGATAAACTTAAACAGACAGGCAAATAATATAACGCACTTTGGTTATATATACCACGTGTACATTCGTAAGCATGTAGTAACAATCTGTTATTTACATACAGACGCCTACATTTCTGATAATCTATACTAAGATTATAAAGAGGAAAGGTTTGATTTTTTGTTTGTTAGTCTCGAATTGGCTCCCGAAACTACTGTACCGATTTGAAAAGTTATATCACCGTTGGAAAGCTATACTATCCCGGAGTGACATAGGCTATATTGTCACAATAAAAGATTTTTTTGTATTAAAAAAAAATAATTAAAATACCACAGCTTCAAAAAGCTCTTCATTTGTAACTTAGTATTAACCCTTATCAATATAAATGATTTATTATTTAAGATCATTTCAAAATTTTTATATATCTTTTTGAATTATTAGATTCTACATTCCATTCAAAAGATGTCAGAGTTAAAAGTTTTGAAAAATATCCGCTCGGCGGCTAACTAGGAGTTGTAGAGTTGTAGAAGTCACTCGGGCAGTTAAGATCACGAAATAATATCTAAGAATTAAATTTCCTACTTTTATTTTATTTGACGTAAAATTTGGGAATATTTGTGTAAATGTCATGTATTAAACGTGACATTTACACAAATATTAACATCCATTACAACGTTCACAGTTTTTCTGTAATGTATTTAGCATCAGTATTGCACCCGTGCGAAGCCGGGGCAGGTCGCTAGTATATAATATACGATTATCGAGTGTTAAATGTTCTTGTATATTCCAGACACTCCTCTAGCCGTGGATGACTTCGAGGAGCTGCACGAGGCGAGGGACGCGTCTGACAGAGACTCACGGTCCAGCAGGGACAAGTGACCGGATGAAATAAATTAATAAAATATTGAGACTGAAGCCTGCTTTGAATGACCTCTGTGGAGACACAGACCACACAATAAATTAAAAAAAAAACTGCTTTATGTATTTAGAGTGTCCTATTTTCATTTAATTCCTTTATCGTCTATCATCTTTACCAGTTGAACTGCGGGTTATTAATATAATCATATGTTATACTTTTATTAAAGCCTTAACTAATCTGATCATAATGTACTGTCATAGTGTGATAGTACATGGCTAGTTATCACAGCGAATGTTACTTAGATCCTAAAGTATTGAATTCAAAAAAAACCTATGTTAAAGAGTCCCATTTATTCATGATTTGTTTTCTATACACTATACAGACGGTTCGAATTATATAATCAGTCAGACAGGAGATAATGTAGTAGAAGAAATATAAAAATAGACGCAAGTTATCCAATCTTTGCCGAGTAGGTAAAATCCTGTTTAAGGAAGAGCTATATGTATATGAAAAACTTCTAGTAAAGATTCCATAGTGAGACGAAATCTCAGCATTCCATAGATTCACCGTGCGGGTGCCGGGATCATCGAATAATATTTATATATAAAAGTATGAACTCTTATTGTATATTCATATTCAAACAAATTAATTATTAAAATCATGAAACCATTCAGAGTTGGTGCCTGACTAAGTGAGGTTTTGACGTCGTTGGCTCAGAGATGGCAGCACCTGTCATATTGGGAAAAGGAATTACATACTTGTTTTTGATTTGATCGTTAAAGGGACATATAGTTTGAAAAAATTTGTTTTTAATAAAATATTTCAACTCTAATATACTTAATGATACCAAAGATTTTGGCGCTGAACTCATTTTAATTCCAACCTTTAAGTAACAGTGATCAGTTGACCACGGATAGACGAGATTATGTAGTGTTATATACAAAATCTTAGTTTTATTAAAATGAATATAGGTAATAATCGCAGACATCATTGCAAAATTTTCTTCCACGAAATAGACATTTACTTGAAAATATTGTTCTGTATTTTGATAAATATTACAGGTGTAGATATTGCGTTTTGAGAGGTTAACGTAGTTCTTGTTGTACAGTAAGGAAGTCTGGATTATTAATCATCATTACTTTTTAGTTACTTAAAAGTATGTTTTCTAATTACTAAATATCACACGTAATTATTTTAACGATAAAAAGAAATAACCTTTTATAAATTAAATAACATAATAAATCTCCTTTTCTGAATTGAAGCATATACAATAGAAAGATTTTTGATATTAATTCAAATAAAAACGTACATTGAGGATGCAAATTTTTATGACATTAATGAATTTAAAACAATATACTTTGTCACGATAGATGTGAAGTTACGTGAGAGTCGACACGCGACAGTCCGCGGTGAGGATAGAACTAAAAAATATGACATCAAAAACAAATCTTGCTATATAATATCAAAAACACAAAGTTCTTTATTGCCCAATTCTACACAACATAAAAAGTTGTGATCTGTATAATAGTAAGTCGGTTAATTTATTCGGTCCCTGCTTAAGGGACCTTCTATTTGAGGCTTTGACGTAATTAGCCAACCTTACATCTTATAATGACCACATTAATATTAAAAATATATTATGTTTAAATTAAATAGTTAATAGATTGACTTGACCATCGTATGAAAACACAATGTAACTGACAAGCATAACATATTACAGTAATTAATTGAGATAGTATAATACGATTGCAAAATAAAATTAACTGATTTGTGAGACTCGGTTTTTTGCATTATTTTAATGGCGTTCTGTTTTGATGCAATTTCAGAGCTCTTTTCTAAACATTAAAAGACATCAAGACTTAACTTCTTGCCTCTAAGTGTTGTCAAATCAAAATCTCTAAATGTATTTAAAAAACGATTAAGAACCCATATATTAGATGATTTCACTGATCTTAATATCACTACTGTTTATTATTTGTAATCTTAATTGTAGTTATAATTTTTAAAATTTCCTTTGTAAGCGAACTTTGTTCTTTTTGGAAATAAACTTCTTTAAACCTAATTAATATATAAGAATCAACTATACTATATCCAGTAGCAACACGAGATGAGTGTTCCTCATGAAGCTGACGCTAACTACATCGTGTGGCAAGGTGTGACCTGACACGAGCCACGAGCGACCACACGCGTCTTCAGGAGACAGGGGCAGGGCCCCCGGGGGATGAATACGAAATGTTACGTATTACTGACTTTAAACGATTATTATTGATAGTCCGTGTATTTATATACATAATCTTTTATTCCTTCATTAAATTATTAAAATAATTATCAAATTAATTAGAGTGTAAAATTTCTTACTGCTATAAAAAAATAAACAAAGTAAGACGTGTTTTTAAGCGCCAACTCTTTTTCCGATTCATGTTTACCGATATAGAACGGTATTTGATAAGTCACTTGAATTTAACGAGTGTTACCGCCTCCACGGATTTGATTGTAAATCAGCATTCAGCAATAATGAACAATGGCCCGGGGACCTGTCGGTGATCCTTCCCACCCTCGGAGATGGCCAGGACCCTCGCTCACACGGGAACAAGAGAACTACACTAGGATACTCAGATACAAACAACAATGAACTTTAAACCTTTGTGTTAGAGTTACATTCACGATGATGAATGTCCCGTAACATTATATGACAATGCGTAATATATTTTTTTATTGTAAAACATATTTGCTCCGACATTCAATGATGTCGACTGACTTATTGAAACTGAGTCAAAGGAGTAAGTTAACGGAACACTACATCAATAATATATATACTGGGAATAAAATTCATGAATGTAGATATCGGCACAACGTCGAATGAAAAATATTAACCGAGTTTGACAGGTTTTTGTTATAACATTTATAATATATGTAATTCATTTTAAATAATTTCACTTCATCTATGTAAAATTGCTGTACAATTAAATTTAAATATTTAAATAAAATGGCATATAGGCATAATGAAAACAATACGACCAGGTTTATCATGAAAACATAACTGCAACAGAAACTGTAAAATAAATACAAACACATCCTGGGGGTTATGTACATACAGACAACAAGCAACAGGCTCAAAGAGTTCCCATAACAAGTAAATAGTGTAAAGTTAATAAGAAATACATGTTATAGTTCGTACAAGCGACACTTGACTCACGGGACTCGGGAGCCGGCCGCCGGCGGCCATTGTTGGTTGTATACACTAGCGTACCGCGTACGTCACCTGCCAAAATGTTCACACGCCTACAAAAAAACGGGTTACATTCTAGTTTTTATCAAATATTTTGTGGATTTTGATCTTTTACGAATAAAGGTTTATGTACAGAAGAGTCTATTCTTTAAATAAGTTCCTATATGTAGTGCTGTCGGTTTCTCTTTAATATAAAATGTTTTCAAAGGATGTTATATCAATAAAAATCTTTTTTGTTGAATTTAATGTAATTTATATTATCTGAGATAAAATTATGGGAGAAATTAAACTATAACAAGTATATGAGAATTTCGCCAATGTGTCTATCATATATGTAATGAAATTAAAACGTAATCCATTTTTTTACACTCAAGCCTATCAGTTTACGTAGCATGACACAGTCCATTCAGCCCTCGTGCGACATTTTGTCACAAAGCAAGTTTTTTGGATGTTATAGTTCAGTTTAGTAAAAAACTTCACATAAATGAAATCGCGGGAGAAACAAATCCTAAGAGCGACCCTCAGACACGTCCCACGGGATTAAAGAGATTTGAGAAAAGATACTTTAGACGGATCCTGGATATAAGTGGATTAACGAAAAGTTATATTAAAAATACTTAAACTTAAGTTTGAAGCGATTCCTTTCTTAGAATACATTATATCTAATAGATTCAGGATACTAGTAGATATACCTGATATTTTGAGGAATATAATTCAAATATGTATCGTGTTTTAAAATTAATTTAATATACCTAATTTGCAATTAGCATCACTGAAGTAAGTACTACCCCTTAATTTTTGTGTTATTAAAACCCTTAAAGATTAATTCTTTTATATTGTCATATATTTTTCTTACCCTAAATGCTCTTCTAATTAAATTAAATGTTTTTGTAGTAGTGTCAATAGGTCAATTAGTAGCTTCTATTGTTCGATAGTCATTATGTTAGTGGTGTCTCAAGGATAGTCCGGGGCCAGTTCGTGTTAATCCCGGAGCGTCCCGGTCAATCCCGGCACGCTCCTTAATAAATGAAAATGCTTTTCCTAATTGCAGGCGTCTCCGACCGACGACCGCCACGCGGCCTGTGAATAGCCTCCTTCAGGGAATCGACATTTAAATAATAACCGTATTTCTAATAAAATAAGGTTCAATATTAAAAATGTATAGTTTTCACAAACTTTTCAAATATATGTCAACCCTTAAGATAAACGTGATGCAGTTCGTTGTAAGTTATGACTATTAAAATAAAGTAGATTTTTAAAAAACTAGACGTAATTTTAAAATGTTTTTTTGTACAACGATTCCCAGTTTATTTTGCGTCTATTAAAGTTCTTGATAACTAGTGATAAGGTATATTTTAGCGTGTGTTAGTATCTATCTAAGTTTGTACCGCCGTCGCTCCCGGACGGCGGACACGCGGCGCCACACTCCGCGACCGGCGGGCGACGCGTGCGCACGTGCCCGCGCGTGTTACACACGACCTATTATTACGTTCATGAAAATTATATGAAACTGTGATACTGAAGTCTTAGAAAACTTTGATTATTCTTAATAATAACTAAAGTGTTTTTAAATATTAACGACTTTCATTAAACATTTTTTGGAGTGCTTTTTACGAATGCAATTAAATAGTGCGTTGAAGAAAATTTAAGTGGAAAATAAGTATGGAGTATCAAAGGCATATGGAGCCGAGTCTGCAGGGCCAGGGCCAGGGTCAGGGCCAGGGCCAGTGGGGCTACGGCTGGGGGACCCCGGCGGCGCCTCCCAACACACACAGGAACAAGAGACCCCACTCGGAGAGTGAAGACGACGCCTTCTCCGAGGAGAGCAGCAAGGACGCCACGTATGTTGATGATAGATCTTAGATACCTACCTCATATAATAAACTAATTATAAGAATACTACAACGTAGTATACGCTACGACCGTAGAGGCTCTACGCATGTATTTCATTCGGTCGTAGATATAACTGGATTTACATAAAAAAAATACAAAAAAGTAATAATTTAAAGTAGTAATTTGAATAATGGAAATGACCTTTTCATTATAATATGACTTAATTACAGAACCTAGTTATTAATATTTAAACGAACTTTCACCTTTACATAAAAATAGTATCAAACGAACGTAATTAATAATTATATTTTTATGTTATATTTAGAAAGACGAATGAATAATTTAATACACTACATACCTATACGAATTCCTAATAATATATAAGTTTAACCCGGGATAGGTGTTATTAGACGAGTTTACTTTAAAAAGGATCTTCAATCAAAATACATATTATATCTAAATGTATTCTATGTATAATAATATTGGTATCGTTCAGATCTCCGGGCGGAGACTCGTGTCAGCTGATGACTCGCAAGAGAAGGAGAGGAGTGATAGAGAAGAAACGAAGAGATAGAATCAACACCTCACTCACGGAGCTCAAGAGACTGGTGCCGGCCGCTTGTGAGAAGCAAGGCAGCGCTAAACTGGAGAAAGCTGAGATACTACAGCTGACCGTGGATCATTTGAAGATGCTGCATGCTAAAGGTAAGACACGGAAACTTGCTGATTACTATCAAAACAAACCAACCTAAATGAAACTTATATTTTTGAATAAAAACTACGTACTCCCGACGCGACGTTTCGGTTACTTTTCACCTACTAATCACTGGCAGACGAGATGTGAATGAAAAAATAAAATATCTCATGTTTAGTATATCCAAAAAATATTAGTTTCATTTAAATGAATACTCGCGAAATTATTAGATCTCATTATATATATTAGTCTGCCTAATATCTTAATATTTAAATTGTTCGTGATCACAGTCGCTCTATAACAGTTCTGTGTCAGTTCCTAACATAAATCTCATATAAAGCATGTGTTTAAAGGATGTTTTTCGTATAATTGCAAGTTAACCGTAAGATCCCACTTCTTCGTGAATCACTTCCGTCCGTCTCTCAAAGCACCGTTACAAATAATGTTCCTAACTTGTATATTTCAGTATTGTTTTATATTCGACCTGTTGCTCCTTCTGTCTGTCTGTTTGTCATCTGTATGTAAACCCCTCCCCGTCCTTGCTGGTGGTCAGTGTGTCCTACTCCATGTCGCAGCATGTGTGCTAATCTCTCCATCTAATGTTCGTTCCCACGGTTCGTTTCCGGGTGTGTCAGGTGGCCCGCCGACGCCGTATTGTAATGTATTCCTTTTTTTATTATTAGTTCCGTTTGAACTTCAACGTTCCGCGGGTCAGTTAATAAGTTATTACATTATTCAGTGAGAGGTGACCACTAACGAACTCAACAGTTCTTCCTTCCTAGCTGACCTGTTATTGTTATGTCGTCAAAGCCTTCTGTGGTTTCCATCACAGCGGGTTCCGGATGTCACGCTCATTAAATATAGAGCACATTAATATCCGCATATTATATTATTAATTAGTAACCCATTCAAAGTCGGATATTTCAAAAATAACATACTTATCTGCATAAAGAGTTAAAAGTAATGCAAACAAAAAATCAAGGAGCTATTAAAAATGGATACGTCATAGTAATGATGATGAGGGTCGTGTGTGTGTGGGTGACCATCATATGCCTCATCCGTCGTGTGTACATCATTGTCCGTCCCTCCACCAGGTAGTTAGTACGGACATGTAACATCAACCACCTGGACCCGAGCAGGAAGCGCTCTATTTCGACATCGGATCATTTTTTTCCACATTCGTGTGTCATTCTATAAATATTAGGGATATTGTGGTTAAAATACAGGTTGCATATTGATAGAAACTTAAATCTAATACATTATTTGCTATAATTTTAAATACTTGAAAAATCGCAGCTCTTTTTTAACTTTCAATCGAACAAATAAATCAGTTGTAATGTAATGAATGAATCGGTCCACATGAGTACCGTCCACACTCCACATCATAAACAATGTATCGGGAGCGTATTAGCTGCAACCAAAGATAAGCCGGTTCAGCAAACAGGGGTCGCGTGGGAATCGAACCCGCGACCGCCTCTCACTCCGCGGACCACACGACACCCCTGGGAGGGTTGTTTAGTCAAATATCACTTATGAACGACGAGCTTAATGTAATTGTACACGCTTTGACTCCCGCTTGTGTTTGTTTCATGCTTTAAATGCCCTCACTAGATACGTTCCCACACAAATAAATTATAGATCGATGCGAATAATGGATCGAAAAAATATAATCTGAATTCTTCGGCTCCTGTCACGTGTCTGTGATACATTGTAAGCGGAAGTGAGTCGGATCTAAAGGGTTGATCCTCACCTGGGAATAAAAACACACAGCGGAAGGAAACAGACAAGACGCAACCCTGGAGACGCTCGCGAGGACCTCTACGGAGACTTAATGTATTGTGAACACTTGTCTGATGATATTCCATTGAATAAACAATTGTTTGTACGCATATGAATGGATGAAGATAATGTGATAGGAATTAAAAACGCGAGGGGTTTGTTTAAAATAATATATTCGGTCCTACAACCGGATGGTCGCTAGTACATAGTATCCCGATGACAATGCTCCACTGCCCCACAATCCACAGCCTCTCTCGTCTCAAACTGTAAGATCAATCTTGTTATATTTTTTCCCTACGGAAGGAGGCCGGAAGCCCGGGGGGTTCCCGTTATGTCGTTGTCTCTTTCACACATCAGCCTCGTGTATCTTCCGTCCCTGTCGTTACAAAGACTCTCCTAACGGAGGGTAAGTCTGAATGGCGGGTTTTTGTTTTCTTGATTTCGGTTTCTTTGTCCGCTCTCATTCCGTGCGCGCATCTGCATCGACAACTAGTTATTTTTATCAACCAATTTTGTGAATTCATTACAACCCTTCCCTTTCGTAAAAGACACCTGGTGCCGCCGCCGGTGACAACTTTGCAATAAAATGACAATTCTTAAAATTATTCCTCCTTGCCTCACCGGTTGCGCTATACTTATAAATAAGTGGTGTTTTTCCCTCGATGTAAACTAAACTCGTGTGTATCGTTCCAGGTGTGGACACGTACGCGTACGACCCCCAGCGGTACGCCATGGACTACCACAACATCGGGTTCAGGGAGTGTGCGGCGGAGGTGGCGCGCTACCTGGTCAGCTGCGAGGGTCTGGACATCCAGGACCCTCTGCGGCTCCGACTCATGAGTCACCTCCAGTGTTTCGCGGCTCAGAGGGAGCTGGCCGCCAAGTCCAACTGGGGCTACCCGCAGTACCCCGCCGTGCCGCAGCCCCAGCACGGGTACCCGGAGCTGAGACACGAGGCGCCGGCGTCCACGGCCGCAACTACGCTCACAGCGCCCACGGCCATCGCCGCCCCGCTCACGGCCGCGCCCACGTACCCGCACTACCCTCCTGCGCCCCCCGCACCGCCCGGACCCCCGGCACCCCCGGGTCCCCACCCCGCCCCGCCGGCCCCCCACTACCCCGCGCCCTATCCTCACCACCCCCCACATCATCAGTACTCACAGAACAGCTCCAAGCCCTACAGGCCGTGGGGCGCGGAGCTGGCCTACTGATGACGACACACATTAGACATTCCGATGTGCGGAGCTGAACGCCGTCACATCGAGAGAATCTATCAGACGAAAAGATTTATATAGTTGTGGATCTCAGAGTTTATTTAGCCCAAAAACTTGAAGACTGTTAACATAGATGGAGTATTTAATAAGTTGCGTGATACATATAGTATATTATATTGATAGTTTATCTCGGAAACGATCGGGACCAAAAACAGAGCTTTAACAGAGAGGAGAGCAGGCTTATATATATAGATGTATAGACGTAGGGTAGCCAGTAGGCTTACACGCGCGGTTGTGAACTAGTTGTTGTATACCTGTGTGATATTTTAAAGAGTGTACATTACTGTATATAACGTGACTTGAAAACAGAAATATAAATTATTTTAATTATATTTATAACGTTGTTTCATTTACTATACATACTCCTTCTCCAACACTCGAACCTCAAACCATGTTCGACATTTATATACATGTATATATAATAAAATTTTATATTATATTAAAATCTAAGTTTGAATTATAAACAGTGCAAATATATTAAATATATTAGACAGGGGATTCCTAAACAGGGTTCCGTGGAACAATTATCAGGGTTCCATAAAAATATTTCATACGAGTATCCTCTGCACATATTTGTATTAACTTGACATCTGGTTTCATTCACCAAGTGTTTATTGGCAGGTGTAATGTATATCTTTAATGTACTCCTGTCTAGCAGGTGTTCAGTGTCTTCTGTACCCACTGACCACCTCATGTCCCAGCAGGTCATCTATATAATGACCTCTCATTCAGCGGGTCCCTCTGGAGCTGTTCCCTGGTACATGGGACGAGTCCACCCCAGTGTTTCCCACGGCCTCCGTCTCTCTCCCCCTCGCCTGGTTCCACTATCTCCGTCTCCCTCTCCACTTCCTTCCGTTGCCCGCGGGGTGCAAAACATCGTATTTTTTTTCCACTCGTGTGTGCGCCGTGTGTCGGTCCCTACACTTAATAACTTCTATCGAGTTAAAAGTTAACTAGAATTCTTAACTATAGTAACTGACAGACCGTTATATTTACAATGAAAATATAACAAATTATATTTATTAAATATTTTACTATATCATAAAAAACAATAAAATACGGTCTTAAGCCATAAAAGTATTTCGTATAAAACCTATTTTAATATTTTGTTTCTGTACATTTAATACGTATTATATTAAATTAATTCGCCAGCTCGTTTCTATTATTGGTGCTGACCTTTCCCCGACCCTCCTAATAATATTCCCACCCTCTTTATATCATAATTGTTATAACACACCACTGTATATAAATAACAAATTAGTCGTCGATCATTAAACTTACACTTTATATATATTGTAAGAATATCATATTTTTAATATTTAATTAAAATGAACTCTTGCTAATCTTCTTTATATTTAAAAGAAAGTCGTGTTAGTTGCACTATTTATAACTCAAGAATGATTAGAAGATTAAATAGATAGATTAGAACCAGGAGACGGACATAGGATATTTAATACTGTTCGATCGAAACAGAAAAATACTTAATAAACTCCAATATCTGGTAATTTACGGCCTCTACAGAGTAATAGAGTTCGCCTTGTCAGCCATACATACATATATTACTAATTGCAAAATTAAGGCGGACGAAGTCGCTGACAAAAGCTAGTTATATACATATAAAGTTTCTAAATCACTAAAGTACAAATAATTCCTATTAATATTTGTTACTGCCGCCTTCATGTAACTGATATCTTTCATTTATTAATGACCACATCGTTAACTAATATTATCATTACAATATCAATATTAACTAATGATATACAATGTGTTTGTTCGTCACTCGTCACGTAACTCTACGTGTGTACGGCCACGAGCCCACACCGTAGATAACACGTTGTTTACTAAACACTTTCTAATGGAGCTGAGATAAAGTGTTACGTGCTGAGATAATTTGACAAAAATACATATTTTTAAAACGACTTTGCTAGAGGTCCAGTTCTATTCAGAATAATAATAACAAAGCTGATAAAATAGAAATGTTTTTGTTTCTTTTTGACCTTAGTTCAAAGAGGTATCATAGTTAACGTGAATACCAATAGCTTGCAGTTTGCAGAAACATATACTAAGGGTGGTTGTAATTATAATCACTAACTAGTGCTTTACTTAGTTCCAAATTATATCAAAATCTTCAAAAATATGTATTCACTATTGTGCATACAAATAAAGAAAACATTAATAATAATTAATGCATTCCCAAAGAGGGTTGATGTCAGGCAGGCGGCCGGTCGTAAAAACAAATAGCCAAAACTATTCACAACATGTAAGACAGATCCTGGCTAAAGCTGGGAAATAGCCAGGAAGAAAAAGAAGAAGATTGTGCATACAATATAAACATAATTTTTTGACGATTCTTATCAACAAATTAAAAATATAGACATGGCCATAGATGACGAATTGTCGTTATATTAAAAAAGCTTTGTTTTTATTTTAATGAACACATAAATATACAAAAAACTAGTATATAAGCCATCTCATCCTCAAAAATACTTCATAACAAACGTACGGTTCCACTTTAGTCACAAATATTTAACAATTTCGCTAATAATGGCGAAAAATGTAACAAAAACACATTATTCTTTTATAGTGCGTTCAAAAAGGAACCAGTTTAAGGATAAACAAATAACAAGGGATGTTACAAAGACTTGCGAAGAATATTAGTGACCGGTTATTGACCGGTAACAATATTAGCCATATTTTTGTCAACTTTTATACGAGATAATTATGGATTATTAGTATAAAAATTATACAAAATGATATTTCTTTAAAGAAAAGACTTTTGCGAGTATTTATTAAAATGAAACTAATATTTTCGGGTTACTACCGGTTATTTTTACAACGAGATATCTCGTGGGGAATCACGTCTGTCGGTAATCTAAAAGAATTATTATATTATATACATATATATTAAACTTATCTGAAAGATACGATAGAATATTACAATACTTTGAACATCTGAGCAAATTAGATTGAGCAAACCTAACTTCCAGTAATTCTATTTCTAAGTTTACTTCGGGAATTGAAAGAAATTAGGAGTTTAGGTAAGGGTTGAGAAATCCAAAAATATATGACAGAGATCTTACGAAATATTAACTGTAACATTATAATGAAACTAACATTTTCGGATTTGCTTCGCTTTTTTTTTGACTCATATCTCGTCTGACCGTGATCACGGTTGCTGTAAAGTAGTCGAAACGTCAGGAATATGTAGTTTATAGTCAAAAATAAAAACGCGTAGTTTATCAGCAAAATATTAGTTTCATTTAAATGAGTACTCGCGAAAATCTTAGCTCTCATTAAGAAAATATTAGTTGTTATATACTCTGTCTAAATCATTAGTAAATATTATAGAAAAATATATATACACCATCTAGGAGTTGTTAAAGAACCTGTTTGTATTGTGTGTCTGTTTGTGTGTAGTTAACACATGGATGAACAAACCGTGCCCGATAATTACATTTTAGTTGAATAAAAACCTGTTTTTTTTATGTTTTTCAACCTTTAAATTTCTGCAAAATAGTTTGAATAGGTTAAAAAATGCTTTGTATTCCATCACTCCAAAAAAATTTCAAACCAAAAAGTTAAATAAACAAATTGTATTTTAATTAAGAGTTGAAAAATCAGGATATGGTGATGAAGTTTGTCAGAATTTATTTCGCAATTGCTTGTTTTTCCTTTTATGAATATTAATTCAGTAAGGGGAAAAATTAACAATGTTTAAAAAAAAAAAATTAAGTTTCAAAGAGTAACACAAAGACTCATTATTACTAGATATTAAGTTAAAGTAAAATAAAAAAACTATTTATCACATTATAATTATATTTATTAGAACGAAAATCTTAAACTATTATATACTTACATTTTATATTTGAGATCAAATTATATCTGACGTTGAAGTATCACAATTACTTTGGTTACAAGACATACATATGTACAACATACAACATTACTCACTACTGATATTTGAAAATAATATACATAAATAAAAATATACTCAGCCAATCCATTATGTATTAAATATATAAAAATACAATACTATAATACTCTTAGAAAAATTTATAAACGCTTTTATTATTTTAAGAATAATATCTTTCGACAAAACAAAATCTTAAGATGAATTTAATTTTGTATTATATATATGATAAAGCCTCTGTCATATAATTGTAATAATTTATTAATATCTTAAAAGCTATTTGTATTTTAAATGTTCCGTAATCCGTTTCCTTATCAGCATCCTCAAGGATACGAGCTCGAATAAAAGAATCACACGATGAGAACAAACGAAGGATCCTTCAAGAGACTCCTTGACTGATGATAACGCTGGGGTCGCGGTCTCCACGATATAATATATGTACATACTGGAGATAATACATAATATATGTTAAGAACTGAATGTTCATATTCTAAGTATTAACGCACCACTGTCAGTCTATAACGTGCTAACTAGTTCTATGCTCTCGTTGATGATGTTCTGCCTCTGCTCGTTGCCGCCCAGCTCCAGGTGTTGCTCCAGGTCGTGGTCCAGGTCTTGTTCCAGGTCCAGCAGCGTGTACTCCGTGTGTATGCTGCTGCTGTCCTCGCTATCGTTCACGTTGAAGTATGTGACCGTGGCGTAACACACGGGCGGGTGCGCGGGGCTGCTTCTCGTGGAATCATACGCGGAGTCGTTCATTGATTCGTTTCCGTAACTCTGAAGGCTGTCGTGCCCCGATCCGTAGCTGTTGTAACTGCTGTACGTGTTCTCGTAGGCCTGGTGCAGGTGTAGCGGCGGCAGGGAGGTCCGGCAGGGGCAGAACCTCTGTATGTCTATCTCTGGCCTGGCGTCCACGGTGCCGTTGTAAGACGGTGATCGTACCAGGGGAGAGACGCGGTTACGAGTGCTGCTTCTGTTCTTACTTCTCTTGAATAATTTGAAGGCCTGTAACATAGACATTAAGAATTTAAATAATTACTACTTTAATTATTTGTATTCATATAAGTAAAGTATGTTACATGTGTATTGTTAAGCGACAGTATAATTAAGACTCTGGTCTATCTACTATCTATCCTTTTAGTCGCTCCGTCTGTCGCCCTCCTTTGTTATTTTCACGTAATATCAATAGGACTTATGCTTTAAGTTTGCTATTAAAAAGTATCAAGAACTCAAAATAAGGTTTCATATATAGATGGTGTTATTTCTCATCTCATTTCATTAACTAAAATAATAACTTGATGTTGCTCAGTTACGAGTGCCTCTGAGTGTAGATACGTTCTCTGTATTTTTTAATTTCATTGAGATTTATTATAAGTGTATTAGCCGTACTGTTGATGATACATGTAGATAATAAATGTATGTAAATAAATACTCTAATGTATAAATAATTAAATGTATTCCAACTAATCATTCCTATTCCGTCACTCACTTCAATATGACTCACATAGGATGTAGTAAGTTATATTCTATTTTTACGTCATAACTAACTTTTTGCTTCAACAAACAAAACAATTTATATATAAGAATAATAATTATTCACAATAGAGGGTTGATGTCAGGCAGGCGGCCGGTCGTAAAACAAATAGCCAAAAACTATTCACAACATGTAAGGCAGATCCAGGTTATAGCTGGGAAATTTCCAGGTAGAAGAAGAAAAATAACTATACTATAGTATAAGGCTGTGTACACATGTATATTAATATTGAATCCACCGGTGACCCGGCCAGTGGCCACATTAAACCCTCAACGTCCCTCGCTACCAGCCACCTGATCAATTTGTTCCAACTTGTTTAACTTTAGATATTATTAAATATATATATTGAAAATCTATCAATAACTTTATTCGATAATCTACACAATATTTTGGTATAATTTTTAAATCATTTCAATAGCTTTCCATGCAGTTATTCTTATTATTAAACGTTTATAAGTATATACATTTAAAGAGTTCTATTTAAAGTACTGTATAGTATATTTCGTTTATAGTTACGTAATATACATAAGTATAAGTAGGGAGTCAATTTCGGCGATGTTAGTGTCAAGGTCACGCTGGAGCAGGGGTCACAGGCTCAGAACATCGATACATCATGATTCTTTATCAATCACTTAAAATATTCGCCTCATAGAATACTATTCAATTGTTAATCTCAAATGGAAGCAATTTTGACGATGTGATGTTCATGAAACTTCAAACTTTGTCGACATCAAAAGGATTTCGTTTCCGCTTAATTGGTATTCTCAAAATGTAATTATAATACTTTGCTAAATTATAATTAATATATTAGAAGCTATTTAATGGATGTGTATTTTTAGTATGTTCAAATGTCGTCTGTTAGCGTGAGAAAGTCGTTTTTTTATGCTAATTTTATATAATACAGAGTCAGGTTGTGAGGGGGTTGTACTGGCCTGTCGGAGCGTGACGGGTCACGGGTGCTCTCAAACGTGACGATCGTCCGCAGACACTATGATAATAATAAAAGGAATATTTCAACGGTTTACTTTAAAATGACACAGACGAAGCCGCGGGGCGAGCATCGTATATAATATTAGCACGTGAGTTTAAAGCCGAAATGTTGTGACTGTAATGGTGTTTGAAATAATTCATGAGATGTTGTCGAGTTTGTCGGAACTTGAAAATTAATATTTAAACAACTATGAATGTTTTATAAGAACGTTCTGGAAATGTTTGTTCCTTGTAGTTGTTTGTCACACGTATGGTACTCTGGTGACTAGTACTTGAAGTACCTGTTGGTATTATGCATCAGAATCTGGGTTTCATAGAGAATTCACGGAAAATTTATACAATGGTAAAGATTTTATCAAAAATTTTAATAAACATTGAATCTATTGTGATAGAATTATTTTATAAATAACTGAAAAATTCTATTTAGAAAGAAAAATTTTCACTTCACTGACTTTCGATTACATTAAACTTGTTTACCTAAAATACGATATTTGTTTTTAAATATATTAATAATTACATAGGACAGTACGGATGTCTGAAATACGAAAAAATAAAATAATTGTTAATAAATATTACAAACTCTTTTGAATTTGACAATAATATATATTATTCAGGTGGTTTTGTATGTTTTATCGAGACAGCCAATAATTATGGATCTCATATAAACAATTGATTTCTGTTGTCGGGTCTTCTTATAGTATTCTCTCTAATCATATGTTTATATGTATGTATGTATATGAGAGGCCAGGCTTGTCTGACGGTCGGTCTGTCCATCAGAGTTGAACGAACAGATCGGACGATGCTGGAGTGATTTACAACTCTCCATATCAGCAGTAAACAAGACACACTATACATACATATAGTTATACAAGTTACAGAAACATTAATATTATTCACACTGATATGAACATGAGAACTACTCTACAACTAACTGAGAATAATCTATATAGTATGACAGAAAAATACTCTCAAATAATATTAAGAGATATTACTTATTGACCGGCTATAAGTCAGTGGTGGCCTAGTGGTTAAACGGCCCGCCTCTCATGCACGAGGGCGCGGGTTCGATCCTGGCAAGTACCAATGTAATTTTTCCGAGTCATATGTACTTTCTAAGAGTATTCAGACATCACTGATTAATGCATTACCAAAGAGGGTTGATGTCAGGCAGGCGGCCGGTCGTAAAAACTATTAGCCAAAACTATTTACAATATAAGGCAGACCCTGGCTAAAGCTGGAAAATTTCCAGAAAGAAGAGACTTATTTACCAGATATAATTTACTCAAAATATTGTTGTCTTCAATATGTAGTAATGATTTCAATGCGATTATTTAGATTCGGGAAGAATCAATAAATGTTATTTTATATACCATTACAATTTCCATGTACAGTCTATATATTAAGTCGACATGTTCACTAGACGATCTCACTATCACAGATCTCAGTAGTCATTACAATAACAAAGTAGTCTACAACACCCTGACACACACATTAGTAGGATGACAACTGATGATAACAATAATAATATATAATACCAAAACAGAGACTTAAACATAACTAATTTTTTATATTAAAAGATCTCTCTCTACTTTTAACAATGATAGTTTGAATCAAAATACATTTTACCTGTGATAAACAATAAAGACAAGAAAATATATTTAGCTAAAATTGTATTGAAATAACTAAAACATAAAATAACATATTATAGACGCTAACTAGTTTATTGATTTGTATAGCGATATTAAATTTTATACAAATTATCAAAACAGTGTGAATTATTCGCTGGAACTATTTTAAGATGATTTCAATCTACTACAATAATACAACACTATCAATACTATTTGTTGGTTTGTTGAAATGTGACGAACTGATATCTAAATAGCTATTAAGTAACTTAATTTCCGTAATTAGTTAAGTATATATGAGCTCGCAAACACACAGACAGCCTCTCAGAGATGAGTGTGACGTGAGATGAGTCTTATCAATATATAAATACACGAAATAACATACAGCACACAGAGATACGACAGGATCCGCGCGGGACTTCTGATAGCGATGTTGGATATTGTTATTGCAAACTAATTCAATATTCAAATTTGATTTAAATGACCGATGATTGTGTTTTAGCATGAAGGCATTTCTTTAATATATCATATAAATAATGAGAGACGTTATTAGGAGATCATAAAGATGTGTTTGTAGACTCACCTGTAGCCATTTCCTTCTGGTCTCCGTAAGGAAGTCAGTGAGCACCATGCTGAGATGCTAAGTATTCAGTCGCGAGTCGTGATGAGCTAGTCGTGAGGAGTCGCGTGCGTGTCGCGCGGCCGTCACTGATGGAGTGCGTATCGGAACTCGGCCGGCGGAGCGAGGGCGGAGGGCGAGGGTCCCACTGACGGACTACGGAGGGACGCGTGGGAACTATCCCACAAACAATACACAACTCCCTCAAATAACTTGTAAATTTTCCCGCTTTTTTTCCACGTTTATTAAATTACTCGTTTATTCGCCGATCCCTGTTCACAGTGACCGACTGACTGTGAATACATTAGGGCTGTGTTATATTGATTTACGTGATTGCTATTCATTTATTTGGTCACAAAATAAAAGAAACAGGTGTAATTAATATAATTTAACAGCCTGAAACAGTACGGAACCATGTAACCGTTATCACGTCGTGTACTTATCATAGACAATAAACCTCTAAATAGGTTAGGTTAGTGTATCATTGGTTACAATTATTCGTATATATAACAACTTACAGACTATAAACAATATAATTTAATATATTTCAGGAGTACATGAAGCTTTTTCAGAGTACAGCTTCCTCTAGAACCGGGTAATTAGAGTAAACATTGAATATTGCTGAGTTAAATTTGTGTTGACCTTACAAGGGGATAGGTCGAATCACTCCCAAAGTATTTGAGCGGTTACATGAAGAGACCTGAACAAATATATGAATTTGGAAATATTAATGGCCTCAAATATATGTATGAATTGGGAACGGAAACTACTCAACGGTTTTTGTAAAGTACTTATTCTTAGTACGTGTTAGTATCACACTACAGACGAAACGTCTCCCGTTTCTCATTAATACTACGTTGGTAAGATGTACGAAGATTTATGAATGAGAAAGTGTACACGCTCGGTAAGTATTGTGACGTACAATGATTAGCGTACTCAATAACAAAATAGTAGATTATCAATAGTAATCATTATCGAGAATTACTCAATGTTTTTGTTTTATTTCATATATATAAGAAACAGATAATGTTATTCAAGTTAAATATATATTATAGTTTTATTTTAAGATATGTATTTCAGACCATCCCTCGCCCACGCTATGTTGTTCCGATTATTAATAACTGACCCATTATTCCTTTGCATGTTTGGTTTTCTATAATAATCTTATACTATATATATGCTAGCTTTTGCCCGCGACTCCGTCCGCGTGAACATTAGGGTTGTTCTTTGTCATTACGGCCACTGAAACCAACTGCATTTCATGGTTTCACTCATGTAAAAGAATGAAACTTTTTAGTTGAATTATGAACAGGTATCACGACGCAAGATTGAGTTGAGAAATTTCAAGATCAGGATTTTTGATCAGAATAAAAGATAGTCCACATCTTTCTACAGGGTTCAGTCTCTATGACAAAATTCATTAAAATTGGTTTTAGACGTCAAAAGACAGACAAACAGATAAAGTTACTGTCGTATATTTTATAATAGTAGTAAGCATATGTATACTTTGTAGTATTAATAAATTTTAAAATCCTATTTATAAATATTAAATACGATAAGTATAGTAAACATTAATAATAAAGTCGTTCGTTTTACATTAAATTCTTACCCCGCAGATTACATTACTACTTGTAAATTATTTATCAAATTTATCCCAAACTGCCATCATTTATCTCGTTATGAAACACATATTATCTGTTCATGTACGCTGTGTGTATGTTTGTATTATTTACACTCATTTTTATAAATCCGTGCCAACGTTTTGAGGTTATCAACAGAGTAAAGAAACATATTTATCAGGTGCACTACTGATGTCTTTTTATATTTAAAAATATAGTTTTTTACTTCCTTATAATTAGAGTAAACTGCGTCTAAGTATTTAATTATTATTTCATACTCTATAAAGTCAATATACTTTTTCTTTTACCAGTATTATATCAATATTTCTCTATCATTCACAAGTTCTACGATTTAACCGATTTTCTATACATTACAAAATATATTTTTTTGTTTACATTACTATTAAGTTACCGGGACCGTTGTGTAAATTACTCTTTTTAGAAATAATAAAGCCATATATTATATCGAAAAAAACGTAATATAACGTATATAACACTTAATATAATACTAATATAGTCCTCGACTTCGCATACACCTAGAAGTATTATCCACAATTGATTTATTTTTGTAATAATAATATTTTTGTACCTTTCCTGATGGATAATTTTATACAATACATCTTATAATATAAGTCATGTCTTGTAGTCTTAAAGTTGAATATATTAATATTAAAAATATTATATAACATGAACTCAGTGTGTCCGATATTCATTAATTAGTGGAGAAACTCTGAAACTAATTATTACTTTATCAACTAATATTAATATTCCTTCATCTTGCCTGTATGTATATGGGCTACATCATTAGCATTCAAATAAGTTTGCCAGTAGTCTCTATATTGTATATACATATTTGGTTTTAATTATTCTCTTGTTGGTAATCAAGACGATCACTAAATATTATATACATATAGTTAACTTATGCTGCCTATTTGTTTTACGATCCATTTGGAGATAATAAACTCGCCAAACCCATTACACAGGCCGTAACAATAAAACAGACTTTATTAAAAAAATATATTTATAAAGGTTTGGGACCTTAAAGAGTCAAGTAGGTAGGTTTTATTCGTTTATCCCAAAACAAACCCAAAACCGCTGAAGGGTTTGCGTCTTTAATTCTAAAGGATGTATTTTATGACAAAGAAAAGGTTTTATATCTGTTCTCAGCAGATTTGAATCCATTCGTCTATAAAAGGAGGTGGAATGGAATAATATGTTTATAAGTGTGGATACGCTATAAGACGGTGGTTTTAAAACGAGCCCACAAAGAAAGGGTTTCTCAAGTTAATTGTATAGATTATATTATATTGTTATCTTTTATATTTACGTATTTTTTTTGTTCAGAAGGCCTATCGTTTGTCATCAAATTGATCTTAGTATGCTTACCCCAAGTTTTACGTCACAATAAAAAGTAATAGTTAACAATTTTATTCGTAAATCTACATGACAGTAGTAAAGTGGATTATTAAGGGTCCATCTCAGCGGTACTTGCAGTATAAGTACAAACAAACCCTCCTTTAAAAAAGTAGGTTATTATATGAAAAACGGAAAAACGCTTTCAATGACATAAAGTAATATAACACATTTGGTGATATTTACACATACATATATGTAATAAACCACCAAAATAATTCAACCGAAAAATATAAACAAACGCAAAAATCATAGTTTTCGGTCTGATTACTTTGATAAAGTCAAAATAATAGTGTTTTAATATATAGTACAGCATTTTTGGTACGAGTAGGTACCTCACAATACATTCGGAGTTTTTTAAATATTTTTTTTTTTTTGTATAAATCTTGACACATTGTATTATTGACGTAAATTATATATTTATCAGAAACGGGTTAACGTTTCGTACGTAGTCCTCCGATCTAAACCCATTCTAAGCACACAAATCACTATCAGTAATATTTGATTATTCTCAGTCCATTATTCCATTTGCTCCTTCAATATTAACCCGGACCTCATCTCCATATGGTTATTACTAGACTTTATGAAGTCTAAACGGCAAACCCTTCGACTAAATGGCGTTATCTAGACTCACAGGGAGGTCTGAGTTACACAATTAAATAAATTCCTATCGTCATTACTAGATATATAACCGAATATTGTGATGAAAATTATTATATAATTTTAAATATAGGTAACTAGTTTTGGCCCGCGATTTTGTTTCTTAATTAGTAATGTATAGCTGACCAGGCGAACTGTTTCGATTTAGAGACAGTAAAAAAACAAATTTTGGATACTATTTAGCATTTTTTTTTAATCTAAGACATTCGCGAGTATTCATTTGAATAACTTTAATATTATTCGGATTACTGCGCGTATTTTATTTATTTATTTGTTTTTTAGTTTTTTCTGTGAAAGTTGAACAGTTTAAAAATATCCTATGTCCATCCCGTGATTTCAACCTACCTTCCGACACTAAGTAAACCAATAAATTAACTAAACAATTTGGAAACAAACAAAGCATATTGGAAGTTCACTTATTAAAACGGTAAATTTATTGGTTAAATCTTTTATCATCTCTACATATTACAATATATATTTATGACGCAAATAATTAAATGACGATTACCTATATTAATTGGCAAACCGGTTGGAGGAAGCCAGATATGAAATATTATTACGTATTTTAATTGAAGTTAAAAATAATGATAGTGTTGTCTTATATTGTAAATATTTCCGAGTTCATCAACCATTATTACTAGTAAGTTATAGTACTTTGACATTTCCACTATCTTATTCTCATACTCGTATATAAAATTCTCGTTTCGCGGTGTTAGACAGAGAACTCCGAAACGTCTAGACCGATTTTGATGAAATCTTGTCAGCATATCGAGTAGCTCTGAGAATCGGAAAACATCTATTTTTCATATCCCTTAGTGATAAGGGTTGTTTACCCTTAATTTTTTTTTTCAGACAAATTTTTTTGTTTTTGATTTTTTCTAATATAGCATTAAAAAAACATACAACCTAAAATTTTTACTCTTTTATCACCAACCCCTAATTTTTTATACGTCAAAACAACGTTTGCCTTTAAGCTAGTATCTATATACATATATATAAGAAAGTTGTGTTAATTACACTATTTATATGGTTGGAAATTGATGGGGAAATAGCTTAGCACCAGGAGACGGACATAGGATATCTAATTATGTTAAATCGAAAAAAATAATTAATAAATTCCAATATCCTGTTATTTACGGCCTCTAAGCCGGTATAGAGTTCGCCCGGTCAGCTATACATACATATAATTATGTATTACTAATTCCAAAATTGTCGCGGACGAATTCGGGGGCAAAAACCTGTATATAGATAAAACGATTCCTACGTCTTGCCACTCAAGATTTAATATTTTATTTCACCTGCCGTGTTCTTAATCGTGTTCCTTGTAAGACGAAATGTAAATGTCATTTCCATACCATATCCCACGTCTAAATCAAAATATAAATACTAGCTGACCCGGCAAACGTTGTTTTGCCATTTACAAAAATAGGGGTTGGTGATAAAAAAGGATAAATTTTGGGTTATATGTATTTTTTAATGCTACATTTTTTAAAAAATCGTCCAAAAATAAAAAAATAAGGGTGAGCAAACCTATAACCCTATATTATGACTCAATGTGCTCACAAAATTTCATTGAAATCGGTCCAGTCGTTACGGAGGAGTTCTCTGTCTTAAGCACCGCGACACAAGAATTGTATATATTAAAAGATATACATATACCTATAAATGAACAAACATCTGTTCAATACACATATATTTTATTTGTGTTTAAATATTACTTTATCTAAACTCTTATATCCGAGGTGATGGAAGTCAATGTCTGTTCATGAAACTAACTTCGTTATCATTTCTTCCTTCATTTTACCTAATTTGAGAATTCCATTTGTCTTACATTAATGTAAATTTTTTCTCAATATAGATCTTTATTGAGAGTGACGCTAAGCTTATAATTATTAAAATTTTTAAGAATTTTTTTTCATTAAAAATATTATAAATATAAAAAAACTACAAAATGTTTATTTCGATATATAATATTATATATGTACATCTAACATTCAACCAGGGCGTGTTAAATCCTCACATAGATATAAGAGTATAGCTCGTGTCTCGACCATTGTTTGTCATGGTGGGTGCGACCTATCACTGAACTTACATATTTGATATATTTTCGGGGTTCTGCGTAAAATACCTGACATATAATTTATCGGTAAACTTGATCTGCATCTAAGTTATAAGGTGTAATAGAAAAAAATCGTATTATTATATGGTTTTAATTGATTTCGTTTAAATCAAAAATAATAAATAGGTACTTAATAATTAATATTATGTAAATGATTTCAAATACTAAGAAATAAAATTAAACAAAAATTCAACATTACATTGTAACAACAAACTTAATTTAATGAAGAAGTTTCAAGTGCAATTCAACTAAAAAAATAAATTCATATTTGTTCCACTTGACCCATCGAAAGTGGTAGTAACCCTTTCTTTAATCTATAGTACTTCGAAGTATAAACTCATGGTATCTATCCTGTATATATAGTTCGGGAGTATAAAACAAGTCATCGATCAACAATAATAAATCAAACAATAAAATATTCGGGAAGGCTTTCCTCGAGCGGTGACGTCACGGGAGCGACGTGGGAACAGAGTCGCGGGGCGGTCACACGCGCGCCCGGCACGTGCCTCGCGATTAATATACAGAGAGACACCCTCGGGACCTTACACAAGCGAAACACGACCCTCTGTTGATGAGGAGAAGGGTCAGGATGGCTTGCACCACCACGGAGATCCCGCACATTAATATAATTACAGATTTGTGGAAAGTGTTCCTTCATGTTAGAGCACGACTCGCTCACACATATATATAATAATAAATTCGATTGCGAATTTTAACATACAGACGACAGAATCATCTAGAAAAAAATGAGTTTATAATTTAATTGTGTGTTTGGTGTTTTATTAAATTACTTTATACGATCACCAAAGTTCTTTTAACATAGTGAACGTGTATTTATTCATTTGACAAACTTACATTGACTTTAAGACCTATAAACAAAAATGATACCTATTTTTAGTTATTCAATTTGACACTTAAATGACAGGTCCACAGATAAATAATAGAATGAAAACTACAGCCTAAATAAGTACATATATTTTATACAACTTTACATTCAAGGTTTATCTTAATGTAAACATAAATTTAATTAATATTTAATTTAAAACCTCGCGATGTTCGTAATATTGAAGTGTTTTAATTTCTCTTTCAAGTCCATCTCAAACAGACAACGTCAATATTAATTCCGTTAACAAGCACTAGAACAGATTAAGCTCGTCGCTGAGCTCAGCAATTATATATTTTTGCTCATTATTTGGAACATAAAAATATATATAATAATAGTGGCGTCCGTCGCTCGCGTGCCGGCCACGCGCCGTCTAGAACGTTCTTTACTTATGTATTATTGTGTATGGTGATTGTTGTGAGCTTACAGCTTATACTAAATGACGTTTGAGTTTAAAATACATGTCCACCGTATTAGAGTGTTCTTAACACACGAGGGTTCGGTTTTAAATAAAAGAAAGTCATTTAAAAAATATATAAACTTATAATTTATTCATGAAATATTATTTGAGGGTAAACATACATTTTGTATAAAGTTATATTCCCTAATTAGTTTATAGATATATCTGATTATTTATGAGGATTTAATAAAATTGTAGTAAAAAGCAGGTCCCACCGAGATTTGAACTCGGATCGCTGGATTCAGAGTCCAGAGTGCTAACCATTACACCATGGAACCGGTGACTATGGAAGATCAAGTTTATATTCTATTTGTTAGAAGTTTAAATAAAAATAAAACTATATAAAAAAGTCTAAAATTATTTAACACTGACTACTTAAAACAATTCAAAACTGCCTCAATATATGCTTTATTTAACCACACACTTTAAATAAAAACAAATTACAAGAAATATTTGACAAAAACTAATTTGAACTCTTGAAGACATTAACAATGTTGCCAGCTATTCAAAGTTTAAAAAGTCCCGGGAACTTTGGTGAAACTTTACGTCATGTTTTGAAATTATTTTTAATTAAATTTCCCTACTTAATACAAACTTATGATCTGTTTTTATAAAGTAACATACGAAGAGATGTTATTTTAACTAAATATCTGTCAAATGCCGACAACTTTCACCTTAATAACAATTAATTTTCACAACCCTAAATCTTATACAGAATCTTCCAGGAAATATCGACGTCTATTTATCTTGTAGTAGGAAGTACTACAAGAATATACAACTAGTTCAGTAAAGAGGAAGAGATATAAGGAACAGTTGTACAAGGAGAATATTATGAGTGAAGTATTAAGTAGAATAGGAATACCACAAGTTATCAATATACATTATTAAATCACTTTGAAATATTAATTAAATCACTTTGAAATAATCTCTCTAAAGTCTTTTTTATCTTTTATAAAATAAAAATATCAAATTCGAGGAAGAATATATTGAGATTTTATAAAAAAATGTCCATTATGAATGAAATATTTTTTTTTTCGGAATACTACGCGTATTTTTTATTTTTGAATCTCACTTATCTCGTCTGTCCGTGATCACGGTTGTTGCATTAAGTAACCGAAACGTTAAGATTATGTATATATAGTTTTTTAACAATAATAAAATACGCGTAGTATAATAAGAAAAATAATAGTTTCATTTAAATGAACACTAACGAAAGTCATAGATCTCATTATATGGATTATGCCTAGGATTAGTTAGCATTTTCCTTTTATATACAGAGATTCATGAATCAGAAACTATTGAAGTCCCGTTCGGCGTCACCATACACACTAAGAGTAAGCATAATGAATGGATCTATGTATAATCAGAATAGTTTATTTGAGAAACAACTTCATTCGGTATATAAAAATTAAAACAGATATATTTCACATATAAAACATAAATAAAAATTTTAATTTTAATAAAATGAGAGAAACATACAATTTAAACTATTTAAACTATTAAAAATGAAAATGGTTTAATATTTAAAAATTGTTAAATATTAAAAAAAAATTAAGAAATATCTTTAAAGAAAACTGGTATAGGTACTTTAAAGCGGTGGTTTATCAAAAATAAAACTATAATAAATAATTACAATACAATAATATATCGTAGTATGAACCACACAGTGGTAGGAAGTTGAAACGTTTGATGGAGTACATGTATTGAATGGTGGTGATGACTGTCACCCATCACCCATCACTCATCACATCGACAGGCGGACACGGGAAGAGTTATATGTATTATACATATATTGACACTTGAAGTCGCATTTTATATCGATTACAACCATCGTAATTATAACATTTGATTTACGATTAATATTCAAAATTGTTAACATATTTTAATATAAATGAAACTAATATTTTTCGAAATTATGTACTACGCGTGTTTTTGATATTCCAACAAAATAATCCCGACGCGACGTTTCGATTACTTTGCATTAAACGTGAACACGGACATCTCGTCTGCGCTAAATAGGTAGGTACTTAATATAAAAACGAGTCTTAAATCTCATTATATTTTAATATAGTTTTGAAACAACGAAAAACTGGACGAATAAGTGCTAAAAGTTCCTAATATGAAGTTTGAAAATAATCTTTAGATTTCATGAAGTAGTTTGTTGTAATAATAAATATTACACAGTGTGTATTATATATGACAAGCCCGCGGGGTGACAGTGTGTGTGTGTGTGTGTGTGTGTGTGTGTGTCGGCGGGCGCGTGAGTTATGTTCACAAACATTTTGAATGATACACTTATTATTTCTCTATTATTGATATTTCACGTTATGATGACCCCGACACCCAGACACCCCGCACACTCCTGTACACACACTATAACCATCTTCATACTTCATACAATTAATCAACAATATAATCTATTTCTTTTATTCTCCATAAGCATAGCTATACTTATAATAAAACAATAATATTACAGTCTAATAAGTTCTTAAAAAACAGACTATACACTTAAACCGTTATAATTGTAACAAATGTCAGTGTATTCTTGAAGTATGAGTGTAGCCATATAGTAATAATAAAAGTAATGGTATATTTATTTCATATCAAAAATGTTCTTTCACAAAATTAAAGTCTTCGTAACCTTAAGTTATTCCTTAAATATAATTTACCTTAAATATATTAGTGAATAATGTATTTATTATGTTTATTTAAAGTATCCAAACTCCCGGTCGCGCTACAACACATTGTCCAAATAAATTGCATCAAACCACTAGCTGACCATACCGTTTTATTGCTTAACAATTAGTTGACCGACCCCCGCTACAGACATACACCCTTATTATAATGAATATAGGGTGTATTTTAGTTAAACGGTATTTGATAGACAGAGTGACCACTAGTGACCGCTAAGGAAAACATTACAAGGGCTCGGGAGTTAAGTATTTAATTGGATGTAGCAGTATGGTCACTCTGAGCACTTGCTCATTGTTATTTACTTATACTCTTATGTGTTCCTTCACTCTACACGAGCAAGCTTTATTATGAATACATCGTCACTCACCTTGCAGTAAGAGACTTGAAAAAAGCTGTATACATAGCTATCGCTACCTTACCTTCTTGGTTAAAATTATCTTCAAATGGAAACAAAATAGATAATTTGTCTACGAGTGCCACAAATGCTAGTTAAACTCCTCTATAGCTGTTTTTGATAAATACTTGTCAACCATTTCGCCTTCTAAAAGGACTAGTCTTAGTACGACGGTTTTAACGGTATAGTGCACGAGAGCCAAAGCTTAACATAGGATGTCGCAAAAAATAGACAGACGTATAATAAAACTGTTTTGTCATTATTTGACATTTTGAATTGAGAGCTAAATAAGTATACCTTAATAAATAAAAAGCTCTCGCATTCTTCCCTGAACTGTTTTTACCATTTTTGTATAAATACTTTAGATGGAGGGCTAGCTTATAGGAATTTTGTTAGTGTTGAGGCCGAGTGCGTCAACAATTTGTTCAAACAAAGGCAGAATCAAAGAAATGATGCGCAACGGTATTTGCATTATAAAATATTTTATTTGATTTCGTAACAAACTCCTGATAACGTTGCTCAAACATATCTTGAGTTTTATTTTTATGGTTTTGCAATCTCCAATCTTGGTAATAGGCCATAGCCTATAAGTTTTTTAAAAGAGTTAGATAATAATTAGATCTTGAAGCTTTTTCCCATTCAATAATACAATCACGAATATAAACATTTGTATTTTCATTGATAGTTAAATTGAATTTGCAAATAAATATTTATACCAAATCGTCAGCACTTGTCCTTTAGAGGGAATTTTGAACCTGTGACTTGGTTTTACATCCATGACTAAAGATATTTCTTTTTAGAACTACGTAACTCCACAGACATGTTGACACAATAAATACCAGGCGTTCAATAATAAAAACACGACACTAACAGTTAGTTGGCACGCGCCATACTATAACAAGTTCTGAAAAGTTTCGATGCAACTAGCCACGAACCGCCGTGATTCAATTTATATTTTACATGAAATTTTATTTATACGCGTTTTGACATCATTCACACAAAATAAAGGGGTTTGAATTAAAAATATAAAACTATAAGTTTTCTAGGACACCCTAGTACATATCTCATGCTTATAATAATTTGAAATTTTTTATTTTAAAATATACTTTTTGTTTTAATACGTTAATATAATATTATAATAAGTACATTTTAAAAGATTTGTGTATTTAAAAAGTCACATGCGCAATATGAGATTAATTTTTAATTTTATAAGGAAATGATCGAATTATTCTATAAGGGGACAGTATCTATACAATTATCAGGGGCTATACTGATCGAATCGTACATAACAAACGATCTGTTGTCACTTGTAAATTACATTTAACGATTTGGTTACAACTGGTGTGGTTTATGAGCGATCATTCATCCATCGATGGCACATGCCCTTGGGATTTTAAAATTTTATTCCTCCATAAATTAATTTAATATTGATAGGGAATTTATTAAATCAATATCAGTACATATGTAACTGCAAGTTTAATTTTTAGAATTAATTTAATGTATAGAATAAAATGAAGAGATATATAACATCAATTTAAATTAAATGTTTGATTCATTAATAATGATTGTCGTATAATTCTTTTGAGCGCGGTATGTAAATCCTATTTTTTTCTGTTGACAGCCGTGAAAGTTTTAAAACGTTTTAATTGTCAAAGTGTATGACGCGGCGCGGCGGTGACGGCTGACGAGTGACGACTGTAACAAATCCACTTAAACCTTTTAATTGTTAGTTGTATTCACATTTGTATAAATCACAATTATATGCTATTAGAATATTTTAATTTTATTATTGCTATTTTTTAATTGTTGTAAGATCGTTTTATATTTCGATTAAGTTTTGCATTTTTTATGGATTTTTTTTATCTGGCATAATTGAAAATCAAAAATATGAACGTATTTCTTATTTACGTATAAATAACATTTAAGTGTTTTTTTATGATTAGATAGAAGCGGTATAGGTTTTTCAAGTTGTTTCTGTTTGCCCGAGGTGATCTCCAGCTGAGACGGCTCATTGCCTTATTGTGACTCACTTTTCGATGAAGAAGATTGTAGAACAAAACAGAGGTGATATCAGAATGAATAAAGACACGTAAATAAACAAAAATAGGGATTGATATTTTATTTTTATGGCATTTGGAGTTTACCATCAAAGTTTCTTTATGTTATTTTTATTAACTAAGCATATCTGCACGGCGCGACGCGGCGGGTCTAAATAATAGTTAGTTAAATAAATCGTGATAGAATTATTAAATGTTTGTTTTAAACTATCAGCAGTTAATAAATATAGTTAAAGGAAATTTTATACACATATATCAAACACTATGTAAAACCGGTGAAATTGTAACTTCAAAATGGTTTTTAGCAAAACATTGACCTTAGTATCTGCGTTTCATTCGAATATTTTTTACACGAGCGATTAACGCAGTTTTCAAAATAAAATAAAATTAGCTAACACTTCAAATGAATGCGATAGCTTACTGTTTACTTTAAGTAAGCATCGTCACACACCATACGAATAGTAAGATAATTAACAGTTTTCATTAACAAATCTCGGCATATTACAGTAGTAGTAACGTAGGTTATTGAATGAGAAACGAAACAATACGATTTGTGTTGATGCTAACTCAGAATAAGTATACTGTCCGCTTACAACAAGTTTGTATCCCGAAACTATGTGTTGAGATTTACCAATTTTTTACTCATTCTATGTGCGAAGATTTATGAATGAAAAAAATACAATGCTTCTAATGTAGCTTAACATCGAAGGAAAAACACAGTGTCTAGTTTATTATTCATACATTTTTCCATATAAAAGTATCAACTATCATGTATATAAAGGTACTTAATTATGTGATTGAAAAACTTATAATATTTTAAAAATCTGTTACCGTAATTCTGTAGCATATTATGTCTGTAGTTAGTATTGTAGTAAAAAAATATTATATTGAATAGTAACTTACAAAATGGTTAACTGAATTTTCAGTGTGACGATAACGAAATTATTAAAACTTACAAAAATGAAATAAGATGAACTATTTTACTTTGTTGCCTAAAGCGATACTAGTATCGACATCTAACAACAACTAATGGAATTGTTGTTTGAATAACAGTGCCATCTATTTATTACCCACATCAACAAAATTTCCTCTCGGAAATTGTTTTGTTTAGATTTCTTTAAATACAATTCTCTATATAAACAATATTGACTTTAAATCCTTTTAACTTAAATAGTATAAAACCCTACATAAATTTTTAAACGATAATTGCTTCTCATTATCTTATTGACATTTGACATTTAAGTTTATTTGTATATTGTATTGTTCAGTACAGTAGAGGTACTGAGAGATCTCAGTACTTACGTGTCTATGCGTGTTGAACACGCTCTTATTTCTCATAGGTAAAACCTATTGATTTTGTCTTAATATAATAATAAACGGTATAAAATAGTGCTCGCCGTTCTAGCGAGTAACGAATTTTGTGAGTTAAATAACTCAATGTCCTCCCTTCAGTCGAAGAAAATGCCATTATTTGATTTAAAGGTTTATGTTCGAGTCGTAGCCGCTGTTTTCTCAGTAAGTATATTTTCGAGCTCACGTTTATTGTTTTTTATTAGTTAGTTTTAAAACTGCGAACGCTAGTTTATGCAGAATTTATCGTGTTCAGTTATTGTGTAATACGTTTTTAGCATGGATTAACTAATGTATTTAAAATAAATAACATAAAGAATAAATATCATTAAGTTCACTACAAGTAGATATCAAGTTTAAATATTTAACATCGTTATTAACAAATAAACAGTAACAAAATATTTTTAGACGGTTTTGTATGAAGAGGCTTTATGATTAAATACACTACTAGCAATTGTTGTTTATATCCTACATGATTTATGTTATGTATTGTAATAAATTGACTAAATATTTCGTCACAATATGTAATTGTGCTAATTATATTGAAGCATGTGCGACGTGTTATTAAACCTTTTAATATATCAGTGATCTTATTCTAGATATCATCAGCCACAGCATTTGTGTTGTCTCTGCTGCGTCTCTTGTGTCCAAACCTGTATTATGTGGAATATTTGGACGGCAGTGACTTGAGTGAGTAATTTCATATAATAAGTTCATTGATTATTATACTGTAACTCTCCTTATTAAAGTTACTGTAACTTTCCTCACCTTTATTTGTAATATGAATATGATTATATTTCAGTTATCCACTACCTTATATCCGGGCTGATGTTGGTAACTAGTTCTATTGGCTTCCTGAACAGTTGTGTTGTGATGAACCGTAGTTCCTCTCAGAACACTGGTCGGAACATCACCACTTGGTTGTTACTGGACTCACTGTTTGAGACGGCTCGGGTCGTCTATATATTCATGAGTGAAGTTGTCATCAAGGGAACGGGCCCACTACAGATCTATGAACTGCTCATTAGCATCGCACAGTACTGTAAGTATGATTCTACTTTTACATTATGAAAACTTTGATTTGTCAACATACAAGTTTTCTAAGTAAAATTTTGCATGATAAACATTGTTGAATTAAAAAATATATAGCAATATTTAACTGAAACTAATATTTTCCCGGTATACAACGCGACCTATATTTTGATAAAAACTACATACTCCCGACGTTTTGGCTACTTCTCAGCAACCGTGATCATGGACAGACAAGATATTTGCACAATTTTGCGACATTTTTCATATACATATTCTGATATCAACTAACCATATTATATAATGATGCCATAGATCTCTTGTATATAATTAATAGCATTGGTATGTTTCCAGTGTTGGACAGCTTCCTGTACTGTCAGATGATTCTGAAGCACTGATCCCCTCTCCTCCTCTAGGTTGTAAGCTACATCTGATATTACTACAGCAGGTAGACATTCCGTTAGTCTATGATCTCCACAAGTATTATTTGTAGTGTGATAAGAGTTCAACTCTACTATTAGTTGTAGTATTCACTGTGATTATTAACTCTATGATTCAAACTCAATGAGATTAATTTGTTTTTGGAGCTAAGTATTTGTCTCTGTATGTTTTGTTTAGAAAGTCTAGATCAATATTTAATTAATGAGTTATTAGCTTCATGATTTGTAGTCTCAATATGTGAGTACATATATTTGACATGTCTGAAATGTTTTATATTAAGAAGTCTAAATTATTAGAAAAAAATATAGAAATTATTTAACTTTAAGATGGAATTGTTGAAAAAACCTGTCTTTATACTTTATTTATATTATAAAACCTATAATTTTGTTCCTCTTATGTAACTTTTTTTATGTTATACTAGTGAATTAGTTGTAAGTTTTATTCTGTAGTTTATGTAAAGGAATTATATATAAAATGTATGCAAAGATAAGATTATTGTTGAATGTCCAACTCTTGAATCATAATCTGTATTCAAATAATTTGTTCATCTTGTAAGTTTCAGCTATTTATATACATTTTGGCAAATAACACTCATACTTCAAATATAAATTAATATGTTGGGTGAGACACAGACTGTTGGCAGAACACGGAACTGTTCATGTCAATATATTGTTGTGTCATTTAATTAATACTCACTTTATTAATACTTTAATTAAAAGTTTCTTTGATACCTAACATATTGTACTGAAAATCTTAGACATTGGATAAATATAGTTCTATTCATATAACAAGATCTGATTTTCTATATATATTAATTATTTTAATAAACATATCTCTGGAATTGTAATCACAAGTAACTAGTCTACATGTGAACGCTGAACTTTTGTTTGACCTGTAAATAAATATGAATAAAACAAATTGTATAATTATTCTTTTAATCTGTGAATCTTTCCAAAAATATAATGCATACAGCTATCAACACATCAACAGGCTACAGCATATGGTGTGCGATCCTAAACAATACTGAAGGCCACTGAGTACATGCGGTAGTGGGCGGGGAGTCAACTCAAATGTTTTATAATACACTAATTAATATACTTGTGAAGGAACAAAACAAATGTTACCGCATGTACCGAGGATTGTTCTCAGGGTTCATTACAACTATCCTTACACATCCTACCTCACTTTAGAGTCTTCAAACAGTGTTTCTATAGACATTCTAAATGCACACAATAGTAATCAAATTCATTTCTATTAGAGCGAAAATACTTGAAAAATCATTTACAGTTTGTTAACTCCATGATCCCATTCCAACTCGATATTAATGAATTAAATGAGCTTTTAGCATTACAATGTTACCCTGTACAATTATAATCAAATTGTCTCAATGTAGGCCAATTGAAATCTCGTTACTTCATCAATATTAAAAAACAATTTAGAATTCCAGCAAAATGTTTATACAAAATATGTTCGCAAAGCTTTTCGAAATAATTTCATCCAAAACAATTTTTGATTCTCTAATCTTAAAAATGATAGCCGTACATCGTTCGCTTTTCATCCCACGAATGGCACAAACCCACCACTACGTTGTATATAAGACTTCTACATTTTAATAATCTATTGCTCGAATGTACGAAAATACAATTATTTTTACACTTAATGGCACTTCTAAACTTTGTAACTTTAATAATTACTCAATCACTAGCAAAATACACTCTGTACAGGCGGGGAGCGACGCGGGGCGAGTGATGTGTGATCACAACTATGAAACACAAATGAAATCGAGGCTTTGAACAACAAGCCGCAGGTTTAACGAGTCACCGCCCCCGCTTAATGAAGAATCTGTATTTAAACTTTGCATCACTAAAAATCTTTTATACAATCTAAATATTAAAATATAGAATTTGTTATCCTATCGACAATATTGCATATAAATTTAGTATTACAGTAACGCGTCACAACCGGCTACTTCAATGTACAAGATAATATCAACTAATATTATACACGAGATGACGCTGAGATCTTAACGCGAGGAACTCAAATAAACCAAACAATACAAATATTAAGAAACATCAACATATTGTCATGAACTTATTACATTATAATACACATCCGTCTCGTTACAATTATTATTATAATATTCTAGATCATTCTTTTACTCACAGTACACATACCACCAACTTTATTCCGTCAACTGACAGAAGTCATTATCTGTCAGAGCGACACGTAAGGCAATTATTTATTTGACACATCAAACATAAAAGATTAAAAGCCAAGAGTCAAATGAACGCTTTGAATATTAGTAAATTATTTCAACACATCGTTAATGTTTTTGTGCCCGTCACGAAACCTAATCTAGTTCATAATTTCCCTAAGGGGTCCACGCAGGCCGGTCTAGGATATGTCTCTTCGTAATTCCGAACTAAACTACATCAATAACAACCTACCTAACTTAATACGACGCGAATCTCCAATATTTTTAACAAATTAAATACATATCAAAATACTTCGAAAAAAATAATCAATAAAACATTTGGCAGACGACGCGTTCACGAGCACGGGATGCGCGACGTGACGTTTTGGCATCTGCTCGGGTTTATTAAAGTCACAATCCACAAGCCGGCAGCAGGGCCGGGTCGCGCTGGCCGTCATTAGTTCTTTATAATCACAATCAAAGAGACTTCCAGCTATATAAACTGTTCATACACGGAACACGTTGGTTCCCTCGTGCCGTGTGCGTGTGGTCGGCGGCGGTGCGAGCTAAAAGTTCTGTTGTCGTTTCCGTTTGAGCGTGATGGCGTCCAGTATGGGGCGTCGCTTCCGCTCGTACCGCTGGTGGAGCCGTTCGATTTCCGCCTCCATCTCCGCGTCCAGCGCCGCCATGCGCGCCTCCAGCTCGCTCGACGACAGGAACGACAGCTACACACATACAGAACGTTACACACACATACACACACACACAAACACCACGAACACACCGACCCGGGCCCCGCAAGGTACATAATAATAATACGGCGTTCAGATAGTTAAGAAGTCTGAAGAGTATACATATATGTATGTACATGTGTTGTTCAAGTGTTTATCAAAGTTAGTCCGTGTTATTTCAATTAGCAAGTCACACACACACGCTTAGTACAGTTAGTACAGACTATGTATATATTAATGTGTGTGTGTGTGTGTGTGCGTCACTTACGGGGCCGGAGGGCGAGCAGAGTGACGACGTGCAGTTGACTTACGAATTCGAAGTTCCCGTCCACGTCCAGCAGGGCGCGCGGCCCGCCCGGCGGGGAGCCCGGCGGGGAGGAGGGGGCAGGGGGAGGGGACGACACCGAGCACGGCCCGCCGTCCACCCTGCAGGAATATGAACATACATATAATTTATTTAAAATGATTTCATGATCATAGTACCGGAGTAAGAACATTTAATATTTTTCCAGCGAAAGCACTTCAACAATCAAATTTGTAGTTTAAATTGACGTTGAGTATTACACATTTGACTACACGCTTTACAAGATGTTGACGGGAGTTTCTCCTGCTCAGTGTATGTGTGCGTATGTGTGTGTGTACCGGTGCGAGTCCTGGAGGGTGAGCGTGCCGGCCAGCGTCCCGTTGGTGGCAGGCAGGTGGTTGAGGTCCTTCTTCTCGAAGTGTTCCAGGAACAGCGGCCGGTACTTGGGCCGGCTCGGGTCCATGGGGTCTGTGTCGTGACCTAAGAACATACAAGGATTACAACATGTATACAGAGTAATATAATGACAGATCTTTCAAACACAATAACGCTCACAGACTTGATATCCTTTTGAAACACATGACAGTCAATTAAACACACTACACTAATAGTACCTTTCGCTTACTTCTTCATCCGTATCATATAATGTGTGTTTGTTATATATTACATATACCTTAGATATTTATTTAAATTAATTCAATATTTTTTGCAACAATAATAATTAATAGGCTTAGACAGAGTTTGTCCCAGTTGTCATATTGAGTGTAGTATTTTTTTTTGTATGGAGTATTACTATTAGCCTTGCTTCTTTTACAGTGTCACAGAAATAATAGGTCAGTACTAAGACCGGCAAGTAACAAAGGGGCTTGAAGGGCCCCCAGAGTTAAAACGTTCTAAGAAAGCTTGTTAGGTGAGGCTCGGAGCACGATAGACGTGTGTGTGCGTGTACTAACGCTTCATGGTGGCCAGGTCGTGGTCGTATATGACCATGGTGCCCAGGTCCGCGGCCAGCTCCAGCTCCAGGTCGCGCGGCACCAGCGTCGCCTCGCGCGCCTTCATCGTGGCCGAGCTGTACTCCTCAGCGTCACCCGCACACTATATATTAAACAAACACTATATATTAAATGGTATATACTAAGAGAGACTCAGAAGGGAAATGGGGTGTTGGGTAGAAACCTAGGGGCTGATTAGTGATTTCACTTAGCTAGGATAAGTTATAATGGTTTTTCAGTAGGTGAAAGAATAAGGGCGCTAAAAAATAATGTATTCAAAGTGTGTAATCGACAAAATAGGTATGAGAACCCTTATATCAGGGGTACTAGTGATCGTCCATCGATGTGTGTGTGTGTGTGTACCTGTGTGACCGGCCGCTGGTTGTCGGCGGCGGGTTGCATGTTGTTGCTCCTCCTCAGAGCCTGCGCCTCCCGCAGCTCCCTCGCCTCAGCGATCATGGCGCTCAGTATACTGGCCTGCTTCGCGTTTCCTGCACACACGGACACCACATACAGATACTGGCTTCCATTCAAGACTGCTTTAGTATGGACTATGGGATTTGAACCAGATATCATAAGAACTATGTATTAACCGATCGTCAGCGCCATCTATAGACTGAAAATACAACTTTTTCAAGAAATATTATTTCAAAATAAATTATATTGTATATGCTACTCTCATGTCTAATATATATGTATTACAAGACAGTTTCTATAAAATCCGGTACTTTAGTTTTTGTGTGAGAGTAAAACGCACACATAATATCGATGGCTCCTATGTATAAGGGCCAATTTGCAAAATTACTATTTTCTAATACAGGCATTTTAGGTTTAATTCCAATGTATCTTGTACATGCGATAACTGATACTTTTGAAACTTTGTATAGCAACTATGAAAAACATGGACGATATCTTATATATTTAAATGAGCAATTCTTGTATATATATATATATATACAGGGTGACTGGTGAATTACTATCGATATTTAAGGAGCATACTCGGTACATGATTCTCATTCGAATTATGTAAAAAAAATAGGCACTTAATTTTTGACAAAATTTCCGTATAAATAAATAAAGTGTGTACACGTTCCAAGTGTTCCAAGTGTGGACGCGTGCGGCGGCGTGCTGATACAACGACACGCCGCCGCGCGCGAGTGTGTGTGTGTGTGTGTGTATACCTAATCTGTAGGGTGTTCATACGATGCGTAATTAATTACATAACTTTTGGTTAACTTTACTTAGAAGTTTATTAATATTTATGTTATATTAATTTTTATTTTGTCATATATGATCGTCAAATATCACGTCCTCAAATATTGATAGTAATTCACCAGTCACCCTGTATACATATTTATTGGAATCTCGGAATCGGCTCTAACGATTTTCATGAAATTTAGTATGCGGGGGATTTCGGAGGAGATAAATCGATCTAGCTAGGAATCATTTTTAGAAAATTTTATTTTATTTAAAAAAAAAATCCAAAAAGGAGTCGTTTAAAATATGACTCTTCCTGACATCTATTGGTGAATAGTAATACTACTTTTTGCTAATTGCTTTTAATAATTGTTTAACCCTTAACCACCTAAGTGAGTATTCTTAATAATTCTACTAGACCACTTGATATTTGGAGTTTCTCTCTTATTTACGGATGAGATTTTGGACAAAATTTTACTAAACACAAATAATGAAATAAGACTAATGAAATCAAAATACAATACGTATGATATAAAAAGGAAACACAAAACGGCTTACCTATGTTTTGTATGTAAACTACCTATTTGTTTGGATTTTTTGTGAAAAATGTGTTGTTACTGCTGCGAAAAAATTTAAAAGTTGAGGCGTTGCAATTTTGTTTAATTTTTGTATTTTTGTTGTTTTTTTTTAGGTTTTACTTTAAGTTTATTCAAATTAATAGAAATAAGAAAAGAAATTAAAGTTTTAGTATTTTTGTAATAAAGGTCTCATTTTCTTAGTATAGTTATTTATGGTGCCGTATTCCTTATATTAATTAATTTTTATAAAACATTTTAATTACTTCTGTTAATTTGTGACGCATAAATAAAGCATTTAAGTATAGCCATGTATTTTATTTAACTAAACTTTACTTTCTTATCATAGATCCCAAAGTAATCGCAGAAATTTATGAGCGGTCTCTGTGACCGCACGTAGGTGGTTAAAGGACAAAAGTAGGTGGTAGGTGGTTAAGGGTTAAACGACACAACAGCAGATGGCGTTGCTCAGTAACAGGAAGAAATGAGTGTTTGTTTTGAGGTTAGACTAAGAAATTAAGTGTTGATTTATATTGTTTTGCGTCTTCTTAACGTGTTCACTTAAAAATGCCTACACGAAATAAAAAAAAAAACAAAATAAATACATACTAAAAATTACTAAATACTGAGCAAAGCTCGGTGACCAGATATAGTACATTTAAGCTTGATAAAGTTTTTTGTATACCTACTAGTTTTGAATGTTAAAAAGTTTCTTACTGTAATAAAAACTAAATCTTTCCAACAACAAATACCCATTTTTTTTAAAATGGATGTTGTAGAATACAGTATTATGAAGTGTTTTAAGCAAAAAAAATAAAATGGCAAAAAAATAAAAGCCAATGTAGTAAACATTGGCTTTTATACATTGGACCCATTTATATATATCTACATATATGTGTATGTGTGTGTGTGTACCTATAAACTCGTGCGCCAGCAGGTACTCGGCGGTGGCCCTCTCCTCCGGGTTCTTCACGAGACACTGACTCACGAAGTCTATGAACTCCGGAGACCACTGGTCCGGCTCCCTGGAATATAACACGTTTATTGTATTATTTATATGAATATTGAGCCACACACTGAGGAACTTATATCCAATGACTAGGTATAAATGAAACTAATTTTATTCGAATTACAACACGTATTTTATTATTTTAACTACATATTCCCAACGTTTAGTTGCTCAAAAGTAACCGAAGTAATAAAATACGCGTAGTAGTCTGAATAATATTAGTTTCATTCACATAAATACTCGCGACTCTTAGATTTCATAATGACTAGGTTTCCACAATAAAAAAAAATTTCGCCTGCAGCTAAATATATCTTCTATAAACTATGAAATGTATAAAAAAGAACTACATAGAGGATGATCAAACGTTATATAGTTAGTAGAGTAGAGGATGACCTGGCGGCCGGAGGGGAGGGGGGAAAGGGTCATACCTGAAGGAGGGGGGCGGCTTGGTGGGTATCATGAAGATGGCCCTCATGGGGTGTATGTCTCCGTAGGGCGGCTTGCCCTCCGCCATCTCCAGCGCCGTGATGCCCAGCGACCAGATGTCGGCCACACAGTCGTAGCCTATCTCCTGGATCACCTCGGGCGCCATCCAGAACGGAGTGCCTATCACTGTGTTGCGTTTCGCCATCGTGTCCTGGGAACACACACTAACATCGTACCCTTGCAACATCTGCTAGAACCCCTGAGTATCTACAGGTCCTGGAACTCTGCCTTATAGCCATAATCTTTGGTCATAACAGATATTTTTTATTTTATTTATTTGGTAATCCAACAGTTTTTATACATAAGTTTTTATATTAACTATTATATAACATAAAATTAAAACCAAAATAGGATTACACGGGTAACTTAAACATATTAATAACTAGAAGACGGTAAAAAGTAAAACTTATAGTATAAAAGTAATATAAAGGTAAAACTGTTTACGGGTGGGAATCCAACAGGGGCGCGTTTGTATGATTGTGTGTGTGTGTGGGTGGGCGTGTGTGTATGTGTGTTATTATGAATTTTTATCTTTTTTAATTATAGCTTTTTTAAAAGCTAGTTTTGACATGCTGAACAGATCAATTTCCGAGTATTGTGAATTATATGTGTTGACAATGCGATTAAAGACAGAGTTCTGTGCATAGTTAGTGTTTAGCTCGGGCGTGTGGAATAGTGCTGTATGACGTGTGCGGCGATTAGGAACTCTTAAATACAGAGCGCTCAATAAATCAGTGCAATATACAGGGTGACTGGTGAATTACTATCGATACTTGAGGACGTGATATTTGACGATCATATATGACAAAATAAAAATTAATATAACATATATAGTATATATATATTGAGAATCTAGCTTAGAAAATGTCTTTTAATCAGTAGGGCTCACCGTAAGTTGTCCGGCTACACCGAAATCCGCCAGTTTAGCGTGACCCTCGGTGTTGAGCAGGATGTTCCCGGCCTTGATGTCCCGGTGGATCTTCCGTCGCCGGTGCAGGTACTCCAGCCCCTTGAGCGTGTCACACAGGATGGTCGCTATCTCGTCTTCAGAGAGCGTCTTCTTCCTCAGCCTCATGATGTCAGACACGGACCCCGCGCCGCAGTATTCCATCACGATCTGGAAATTACAAGTTCAAATCTTCTAAAATCAGATTAATTGACTGAAAGACGTTGATTTTAATATTTAAACAGATAACCTTTTTTTTGTATAAATCATGGGTTTTATTCCAATAAATGTGCAATCAAAAGCCATTTCAATGAACAATATTTTCTCCCGTCTCAAGATCTCATCAGTATGTTAGGTACAGTAGTTCCTACCCATAGGTCAGTGTTCTTGAAGTAGCTGCCGTAGTACTTGACGACGTAGGGGCTGTCACACTGCTGCATGATGGAGATCTCCTTGATGATCTCCTGCAGGTCCGTGTCCACCGGCACCTGCTTGATGGCCAGCACCTGGCCGCTCTCCTTGTGGAGCGCCTGGAACGAAACGTGACCAACATTCAAGTCGACAGAAATACTGACTTTGTTGAAATATGAAATACTAGCTACGCCCCGCGGTGTTACCCGCGGATTTCCGGGATGTAAAGTAGCCTTTATGTTATTCCTGGACGTCAGCTTCTTGTATACAAAATTTTATCGAAATCGGTTCAGTCGTTTGAGTGTGAAGAAGTAACAAACATACACACACACACTCACAAACTTTCGCAATTATATTAGTAGGATTATCGAAAAGAATCCTAATGAATATGAAGCAATAAGTAGATCCATTTTATTATATTGATATCGCTTAATATTTCGTGTCTAATGATGTCATGACTAATACTTCGATTACGTTCCTAGAATAAATTCGTAACATATTGATGAGAGTACACTAATTGGACTTTAGCCACGAGTTGGAATGTTAATATCATAGTCAATAAGTTTTGGATAATAGAGGAATTAATGTAGAAAAGTATTAATAGTAGAAGTAAGTAAATATTGTGGGAGTTAGGTATTTATGTCCCGCCAAAGACGCGCATAGCAACAGTCGTCTCACAAACGATATGCAACTTTCATAACGGTATTCGCAAAAATCAGTTATCGAGGAGGCTCATGCAGATTGAATGTTCATCGAAGATTTTATTTAATTAAATGAAAACCAGTATCACTTGCGATTGTGAGGGCGACCTACTTTAACGAGTGCGTTGAGAGCTGTTCAATAATATAAGGTTTATACATCAGATGTAAATATGTCGGGTCAACACGACCTGATGCAGGTAGGTGTATTTTTATTCACCTTGTACACGCTGCCATAGGAACCTTCTCCGAGCTTGCAGATGATGTCGAACACTTCCTCGGGCTGACGAGTCAAACTCTCCTCGGAGAGTTTCTTCAACTCACTGTAACAACAACAGACATTACTCAATAATACAAAGGACGCCACTCTCACGATCCAATGATGAAAATAATAATATACAAAAAATAACATCTTCAAACAAACATTTCTAAACAAAAATTCTCGTAGGTCAATGACCTATACCATCTTGTAATGTAAACAGAGATAATGTAATAAAATCAATGTTTCCAAATCTATGTATGTATGTGTCAATGAACCGTGGTCGTGATGCCCCCTGATCCTTTATCGCTTGTGGTTTCTTTGTTTTAGAGTATATTTTTTATCGTGTTTACCCACGCTCGCCTTTTTGTAACAAACTTTAATGCCGACCCAATGACATGTTCTGAACGCTAGTAATACTTTATTTGATACAACAAGTCACTCAAACGGACATCTATAAATAGCTTCTAGTAATTAATTCATCAGTTCGTCATCTGCGTGCTATCGATTTGTAATTAATTATGATTACTTCTTTCCCTAACATTGTCCGCGGGAGTTAAAAGTTAATTAAAAGATATTCTTTTAATGTTTGTTTTGTCCCAAACATTCTAAATCATGTGACTTCATATTAGAATACAAATGACACGACGAAATCCAAGGATTTTCGGAGCAGATTGCAGTTTATTTCTTTGTCTTATATATGACCTATCTGATCGCAAAGTTTCATTAAAATTCGTCCATACTAGTTTGCGTTAAACTGTAACAATCGTCCTCACATCCAACAATAGACATAAAAAATTCCGTATTAATACTATCAATGTGGTATCTTTATATTTTTCTGTATCTTAAACACTATTTATATTGTGGCTATATTCATAAAAGTCCATCCTAATTCCGTTTCTTCAGAGTCAGTCATTTTACGAGTTCGTCGACATTTTTCTTTATTACATTCGCTTCTTTAATTACTACATATTTTAAAGGAAACCCTCAATTATCATTTAAATTATATCAATATTCAATTTCTATATAATAAAGCGAGATATTAATTTGTACGATAAATATCTAATTTGAATTTTATTCCAGTTAAATATTTTTAAATTGGTATTAGGTAGTGCCTATCATCCCATATACTGGTTAATAGAGTTGCTAAAATACATTCTTATTGTTTATATTTCGCTAAAATCTTATTCATTACTTCCTTGAAGGTTAATGGCAGTGGGAAGTACGCACAGTAAAACTGTTCCGATTCTTTGGTTTGGGCATAAAGAAGGAAGAAGCCCGTCTACGACAATAGAATGAAGACCCAACGTCATTGTGGTTTTCTGATATGAAAAGGGGGTGGGAAAATTATATTATACAATTTCTAAGCACTCGCCAAAGTGTTTCCCATAAAATAACATAAAAAGGTTATAATAACCAGCCTGTAGTTTATTAAATCGCGATCAACAATAAGTATGTTTTCACATCTTAATTGCCCAAATGTGACATAAATACTCTAAACACGAGCGGTTCTGTGCTTGGTAGAAACAAAAAAGCTATCCCGGAGTAAAGAACTGCCGTATCTCGGCAGGACCTCAAAGTTTTCTTATAGAAGCTTGGATATTGACTTAATGAATTGCAAACGTAGAGATTCGAGGATACCTCTATGTATAGTAACTGTCCTAAAGTTACCTACGGTATCACTGAAATCAATATTTTCAGTTTAATTATTCAAATAAATCAATAGATTGTAGATTGGTTGGTAATAAGAATACTATTTTAAAGAGACAAGGATGAGAGGAGTCAATAGACAAAATTAATATTTCGGATTTTAAATCTATGTCTTCCTATTAAATTAAAAGTTTGATATCAAAATAAAGAGACCTTGTACGTGGTTAAAAGTCACCATTTCTGATTCTTCAAAGGATTACAAATTATAATATAATTTACTTTCGGTTACATCTTTATTACTAGAGCCTAGTATTAATGAAATTTTCAGACAATAGTACGTACTGTAAGTTAGTATCGACACACGCCATACGAAGCTTTTCAAGATCCTCGTGAAATTTCCTTCATTAGATACATAAAATAAACAAATATTGATCAATAAAAAACTGTTTACTCTCCGTATGTATTAATGCCAACTCAGACTAAACAGACAGAGCTCAATAAAACGTTCTCTTATCAATGGACGGAAACAACACTTTATATAAAAAATATCTGTAATCACATGCACATGCGTAAAACACCATATACAAGATAAATAACAGAACAAACATAACACATATTAATATGGTATTGAATCAGAAATAGAGTTGGGAGGAAAATATGGACGTACTGAAATAGACAGAGCTTTGAGACATTTTAAATAGCGTTTGACACGAGCACATGTGTTAGTCAGACGCGGCCGGGGATGGAATTTAGTTTGTACTGCTTTACTTTGAATATCTACAGATTGAAACGACAACACGTGGTCGAGACTCGCTTTACATATAAGATAGCCTTTTTAATTTGACTACTCAACCTTTAAGAACGTTCTAAGTTATCGATATATATTTTATAATAGTTATTTAACCAACTATAAACAGAATCTTTTGTTCCATTGTCATCTCAAACAATGAGACAGTCTTATATCACACTGAGCATCTCTGAGATATTGTAAGGTACCGATGATTATCTTAAACTTATAAACCAGTGGAGGTCAATGATATTTATAACTTTACTACGAGTAAATAAAACATAGCTTCAATAGACACATATGATACGGTCTACGGTCAACATGTAGCATCTGTGTTTATTATTTATCATATTTATTTATAATTTATCAATCAATAACTGTAACTGTATTACCGGCACTAGATAAGGAAATGAATCACTGTAGTGTGTATAACGTGGAATGCGGCGAGAAGGATCGCGGTCAGCGCGGATTCCTTAAATCTGACTAAGGTCTCGTGCGGGTCTGAAGCAGTCTTTGTTACAAAACATATTTCTAAGTAGTGATCGTTTCATTCGATACACGAACTTTAATATATTAACTAAAGGTTTGTATCGAATCTTTAAACTTAATCGCCAGCTTTAGATGACCTGTGTATGCACTCACCCTTGCGGGCGTTCGTTGGCGCTCATTCTGTCCGCTCTCCTCTTCTTGCAGGTGTTACAGCTGAGTGTCGGAGCCTCCCCCTCCCACACGCCCCCCTTCCAGAACACGAGGCGACCCTCAGCGTCCATGAGGGACCATCACGACTTGCACTAACACATCGTTAACCAAAGGATAGTTAACGATCTATTCGTCTCCTTCGATAGTAAGTAACACTTTGAAAATAGCGATAAATTCCACGTAACAATACAATGCATCACCGCATCCGGATAAATGGGATAATATAATCAGTACACCACGCGAGTTGTTGGGAACCTGTTTGCAAACACACACACACACAGACACAGGCTCCAGAGGTTTATCCTGGTCACGTCACGATATAACCTCACGTCAGCTGGTAATGTTATTTCTCGATCACAACACGTCCGCGTCTCTAAGGCGATCAACGAAACTCATAATATCCCTCCTCGCATCAGCACGACCGCTCCACACTCCACTACACCCGCCCGTCCCTGTGATCGTGTCTCGCCAGACTGCTTGGTTACTGGTTACTGCACGTCACTTGACTGAATGCACTCGTATTTCTATATATGACACAACTTTGTTCAACATAATATATTTTCTATAAACGATCCTATCTGTAATACGTATTTAGTTTTACGTGAAACCAATAATTATTTATATCTGTGCGTGTAATATATATCTACTAATTACATAAATCATTTTCGTTGTATCCAGTAGTCGGTGTAGCGCGGAGTGTCGGTCGTCTATAAATACAGGATGCTCCACCATCGACACGATGACCTTTTTAAATGTACGAACAACAAAAATCCCGTTTACTATAAATGAACGCTTACTTTAACACTTTGACCATGTCTATAATGCCGTTTATTAGGCGTTAGTTCCGTTAATTTCAATTCTGTCTTCCTGAGAACTTTCTCATGAACATAGCATTGTGTTAACTACAGTTAGATAATTATTATTAAAGGATTACACGAAGAGAATACTTTTAGTATGAATCTTTATTCTTTATATATAAAATCTCAGTATAACATTTGTCGGAGCGAGCGGTGATAGTTTTCGAGGCATCTGTTTCCGCTGGTGATATTTTCGCGAGCAATCTTCCGTACAATGAACTCCGTGTACCTGTGTACTGTGTGCCGTGTGGCTGATGTCTGAGGCTGCCCACCAAACATCTATTCAGAACTACAGACGATCTGTCTGACCGTCACTAATATAACAAACATACATACATGACGTTACAATGACCACACTGACTGACCACTACAACTATCTGACTGACTTATTAATACTACACGTGACCTTTCCTGTAACTCTTCAACTCTGTTTATTATTATATAAATATTTTGTGATACATATTGTTATATATATCATACAAATTGTCTTAATGCCGCATCCAAACCATTTCGTTTCTAAGTTGAGATAATTTTATACATAACACAAAAATACGTAATAAATGTTTTTTTTAGCTATTGTAAAGCATTGTAAAATTTAATTTATTGAGGTATATAATATTTTTATTACAACTTCCTGTTCGTGTTATTTCTTATAATTAATGAATCATTTAGTTTTAATGTGACATCTATTTCCTCGATCTAATGTTATTGGTGTTTTTAGTTTCTAATGTTCAACTCTAATATATATTAAAAGACATTTAAAACTACAAATGTGTCACAGTATTTAAAGCGTACGATGAAAGGAGCGTTTTCTGAACGCGGAAAGAGAACATTCTGCAAACAGGACGGGTCAGTCTCGATCGACGACCGACTATGTAGACGAGTTGTGTACAGACGCTCACTGGAGACTGGAGATATAACACACAGGCAAACAGACAGACATACAGACATACTAGAGTACATGGACAGCATTATAACAAAATAATCTATACTAATATTATAAATGCGAAAGTAACTCTGTCTGTGTGTCTGTTACGCTTTCACGCCTAAACCACTGAACTGATTTTAATGAAATTTGGTACAGGCATAGAGGTGTCTTTGAGAAAGAACATAGGATAGTTTTTATCACTGAATTTTGAAAGGTTCTTTTGGAAACGCGATATAACCGAACTCCACGCGGACGGAAAGCTAGTATTAGTATATAATATTATATAATTGTCCAATTACTTAATGAACTTAAAAAAACATAGTGTAACTAAAATCTATCTAGATTCATATGTATAACGTGATCGTTTAAAATTAATGGCATTAAAAACACGTTTTGGATATACGTATTGCATTCGATTTATTTTTAATGGAGCGCAAACGACTCAATCGATTATTAGAAGATTATTAATTGTTTCGTGAGCCACGCCAATCAACCCACCACCGAGTAAGGCTAGTACACAATGGCGACAGACTGACTATCGTCTTCTACATCCGTCCTGAGTCAACTCAACACTCGCCTCGACACAATGACTTCCAAAAACGAATTCACATTTAACATGATCGATAAGCATTAACACATAACACTTCAAGTTGTGTCTCTCTATTGTAATACTGACGTCAAATATAGCACGAAAACTGCTTAGATCGAAGTATTAATTTGAAATTCTTCAGAAATACAAGTCACAGTCACAGTAAACTTTGTATAACTATAATGGTTGCATATAAACATTAAAATCTAGCTAAGTAAGCTGATAGGTGACGTCATTAAGCCAAGCTTATTCTAGGTCAGTAATACCGGATACATTGCCATACATTTTTAAATACTATACGTTAAAACAATTGGTCAGTCGGTTACTGATAGATTATTATCGTGACGATACCGTGCTCAGTGACGTGGGTGAATTATAAATTCAATTTGGTACGAGATACCCAGGAACATTAAAAGTATGTTATTTTAAACATATTTAGACTAAAACAACTTTATTATAGCTTAAATTTCAACTCAGGCTTGAAAATTACGATTTATCTTTCGAAACTAATGAGGGTATTTTCAAATATTACGATTGTATATAAACAATAATAAAAACTTTTATAACACACGAAAACTATATAGCTAATATGAGGTAAATTTCGAATAAACAAGAAATTTTCCCAATAAGTATAATTCCCGCGACAATTTTCACTCATTCATGGTAGACGAGACGGTAATATGACACAAAAATGTCGTATTATGTGTGTGTGTTGTTATTTACACACAAGTCATTGAACTGTATCGGAATGAAATTTTTCGTGACACTCGACCAATACAAGGTATGCTTTAATGTTATAAGCTCGGCACACTTTTATTAACTGGTTCTTTTATTGCTCGGAAGTTAACATCGGTCTTCGTTCATGTTTATGCATTTTATCAAAACAATAATATATTACTAGTTATTCAACTAGTAATCATTAGTATTCAAAGTTGTTATAAATCAAAGTTATGTTCTACATTTAAATATGTACTTTTTTTTTCAGTTAATTTATAGTATACATAATATCACAGTTTGAATAAAATGAACTGAAGCTTATAAAAATATATTTATAAAAAGACCCTACATACAATGCAAAACTTCTAAAATATTATATGTGACACACTCTCAACTTGATAGAAATGGTCATTGAAGTTATAAAAAATAATTAATTTTGACATTTTGTCATATTATTCTGATATATATGCATATTATTCAATAAATATAAATTTACTAGTAGTAGCTCATTACTTAATAACTTTGAACCCACAACATTAAAAAACCTATTTGTGTCCTATTGTTGTATATTATTTCTTAATTTATTTACAATCATGAATTTGTTATTTTTAATAATATAGTTTTGAAAATTTACTAAATGATTATGAAGTTTTTTATTTATAGTTATCAAGTTTATTTCAGTGTCACATCAATAGCACTGATTTATTTTAAAACCATTTATTATTTCATATTAAAAGAAAGCTATAAAATTTGTGACTACTTTGTTATTTATTTAAATACATAAGCTATATAAAGAAATTTAATATTACGAATATATATCATGACAATAAAACACAATTTTTTAACATTACCACAACAAGGTCCAAAAGCAAGTATTATAATGAAAATATTTTTGGCTCAATAATTTATATGCATTCTGTAAAACAAAAATAATAAAAAAAAACAATGTTTAGACAATGTCAGTGTCAAATAATTCACATGTATTTTTGAACTTGTAAAATGTACATTTTGTTATACATTTTTTTTATATTTTTGATATTGTTTTAGAAACAATTTTTATTTTAAACAAATAGTTTTCACAAACTAAACAGAAAAAAAATTCAAGAAATATCTTGAATTTACGAAGAGCTATCATTTCAGTTGCAAGGTAATTCAAAAAACATTTCTAACAAGTATGAACTTATTTTGTAACAAGATACTGTTGTCCTTACCTTTTGGATGAGTTTTCCGTCATGTTTATGGTTTCAAAAATACACTAATGTATATGAACAAGTTAACATTATTTTAAACGATTTTGGCTTAAGAGAATAAACATTTACTTCATTTTAAATAATTAATCGGTCAATTCTCTTTTTATAGAACTATATTCAAGATACAACGCACCGCATGATTCGCGTGTAGAATCAACGATGTATTCATAACTGTCAAAATTTACAGACAATCAATTACTGTCATTTCATAAAGCGCATAACGTTTCATTCCACGATACTGAGTACAATAATAAGCGACAAAACTAATATATATTATTAAATTTTAAAAATATGTATCGGTTTTGTGTTATTAAAATCATAAATAATTTATTTTTATATAATTTTTCCAAACTGTAAAATCATCAATATATACATTAACCTGGAATTAGGTAAATCAAGTGGAGTCGAAATATAAGTTTTTTATACAACTAAACTATTCCTTTTTTAATATTTAGTTGATAATCAACTTACTCATGAGTAATAAGCATTACGTATAACGGAAATCATTTTTTAATACGTTGCTATGGTAATCTCGTTACGATAACAATCGCATGGCCAATGGCCGTGTTCAAAATTCCCGTGTTTACTGTCAATCTGTCAAGTTCTAATGCAACCGCAAAGAATTATTTTTTATTGATTAAACTTTTGTAGTTAGCTACATAATAAATGTTAGAACATACAGAAGTTTCTAGAAAACTAGTTAGCGATGTTTAAGAATACTTTTCAATCAGGGTTCCTCTCAATCCTTTACAGCATAGGTAGTAAACCTTTGCAAATCTGGGATAAAAAAGTGAGAAATGGGCACATAAAGAGAATAACGGACAATGATATACAGAGTCTGGTGCTGGAAATAGTCGGAACAAATGTCAGCACTACGTACATCACTTGTCCGGCGGACCCGAAGAAAACCCTCGGAATTAAACTGCCGTTTTTGGTTATGATCATTAAAAATCTCAAAAAGTACTTCACTTTTGAAGTTCAGGTAATTGTGACCTAAATATATGTGCTTACTAGTAAACAAAATACCTTACGAAAAGCTCTAATATTCTAGTTTTCACTAGGAAAACATAACCTCAATAAAAGACAACCTAGCCCTAACTCTTCTGGACTTATTCATTTAACTATCGATATTCTCTGTAGGTACTTGATGACAAGAATGTTCGGAGAAGGTTTCGGGCCAGCAACTACCAATCTACAACCAGAGTTAAGCCCTTTATCTGTACAATGCCCATGAGACTGGATGAAGGCTGGAATCAGATACAATTCAACCTCGCAGACTTTACAAGAAGAGCCTACGGTACTAACTATGTAGAAACATTGAGAGTACAAATACATGCTAATTGTCGCATAAGAAGAGTATACTTCTCAGATAGGTTGTATTCCGAAGACGAGCTCCCCGCTGAATTCAAACTGTTCCTGCCCATCCAAAACAAAGCTAAGGCAGCGGTTGCTACATAAAATGTAAAATTATAATGTTACCCTAGTAAATGTATTTTATAAGTCTTATTTTATTTTATTATTGTCTCACAACAATTTTCGATACTTGTACTTAGTGTGTATGACCCACCAAAATAAATACGCACAAATATATAAAAGTCTTTAACTACATTCATCATCATTGAATCCCTGATTACAATTTCTTATTATTTTAATATCCAGGATATTCCCTGAGGTTGATAAAAAACTCATTGTGTTATCATCACATATAAAGTAAATAAAGAACCTCAATAAAAGTTTTTGTTTTGGAAAGTGCTTTGTTATTATCATTCGAATGTTTGAAGGAAATATATAAGATCGTAAGTAAAACAAATTAAATATAATATATTAGTGACAAATGTCCTTTCTAAGAAAATTTCAACAAAATGTTTAAACTGGGTAATTTGACTCCATGGTAGAGTTTTTTTATATTAAATTTTTAAGCAAAATGCCGTTTAGAGATGGGATAAATGTTAATTTTTAATTTAAATTGTAATAATATTATGATAATGATATTATTTAAAAATGTATGATATTATCATACATTTTAAGGCTTATAATATTTTGATGGATGCTCTATCATTGACATACCAGTTCCAAATCAAATAATATCAATTTAAATTCAAAAAATACCCTTAACGTGACGTTATTATTACTATCTGGTATATAAAATTATACTGATTTAAATAACTTTAAACTGATCTCAGAAAAATATTCAATAGAATAACGAACATAACATCTCGATTGAACATGTGTATCTGTACATTATTTGTATTACCTATAAAATGATTTGTCATTATTGTCAGTTGTCATGTCTGAACTCTGAAACTTGATAGATTAAGTGGGACTAAGATGTTCGAAGAAAATATTTTTTATTTTCAATTAATTTTATTAGTATCGTTAATATCCTCATGTTTTAGTAATGAAATCTTAGGATGCGGTGGATTTGTAAAAAGTCATGCCAGCATAGACTTTTCTAAAATTGAAATCGGCTTGTAAGTTAACCTTAAATTAAACATTTAATCTAATAAGAAATGTAGGTCATGTATTAAACTAATAAACTTTTATTTTTCTGTGACATTTTTTGCTTCTTCCCTCAATTTTGTCCGTAGATATACTAGAGATGGTAGCCTCAAAGAGAAGACTGAGTGCGCGCCCACAAATGGTTACTATTTCTTACCGCTATACGAAAAGGGTGAATATGTTTTAAAAGTTCATCCGCCCGCTGGCTGGAGTTTTGAGCCATCGCAGGTAGAATTAGACATAGACGGTGAGACCGATCAGTGTTCGATCGGCCAAGACATCAACTTCGCATTCAATGGATTCGGTATAACCGGAAAGGTGATCACCGCCGGTCAGGTCAGCGGCCCGAGCGGTATCAGTATACAGCTTGTGAATGAGAAAGGAGAGACTAGAAACACAGTTACAACTTCTGGTGGAGATTTCCATTTCACTCCAGTAATACCTGGAAAGTATGTTGTTAAAGCATCTCACCCTCGGTAAGTTAGTATTTAATTCTAAAAACTATATGACAATAGTTTGATACTTATTTTTTAATGGTCAATTGTTTTCGTAGATGGAAGTTGGAGCCCGCACAGACAGTTGTGCAAGTGAAGGAAGGTAACACCGCTTTGCCTGTGGGTGTGTTAGCTGTTAAAGGCTATGATGTTTCGGGTTCCGTGTTGTCATTTGGCAGCCCCCTGGGTGGAGTTCATGTACTACTTTACTCTAAAGAGGTATAGCTTGACTTCATGTTCAGATTAAAATATCAATCACTCTATTCAATTTTAATTTTTCATATTATTTCATAATGTATAGGAGAGGCCTAAGTTCCGAGTGGAGGGTTGTAAGACTGCACTTCTTCAAGGTGTTCCGGACGCTCCTATTTGTTATTCAGTGACTGATGCTAACGGGGAGTTTAAGTTTGGTCTGGTGCCCGCCGGAGAGTATAAACTACTGGCCTTGGCCAAGACACCGGGACAGACCTTCCTCACATACAACATCAAGCCTGATTCAGTGCCTTTCAGTGTTCTTCATGATAGCTTGTATATTAAAAATGCTTTTGAGGTGAGTCAAATATATTCCTTTGGATTATGCCAAGATCATAACATTTTTCATTCCTTTTTCCCACCCTTTTAGTGCTCTTTCCTTTTGTTGCCAATATATCTGCAACATCTCTTATATTACGGATGTCTTAAAATGACAGTCTACCTTCCATCACATAGACGACTGCTTGTTTGCCACCTTTGAGTTAAAAAAGAAAAATAACTTATTAAAATGAGATTTATCTTTATTTAAATGTAAGTGTTATGAAATATTTCATCTCTAGATTATGGGATTCTCAATCGTGGGATCGGCTCTCTCAGCTCCGAGTGGGAATGGTGTTGCAGGAGCTCAGGTGTTGTTGTCGGGACAAGCGGTCACCACCACCGACAAGAAGGGACACTTCACACTCAGTGGACTGAAGCCAGGGGAATACTCACTGAACTTACAACATGGTGTGTTTGTGATAAAAAATATTGTTGTTACTTAAATGTTCCTTACAAACAAATGATTTGAATTTGCACTGAATATATGGAATGCTTCATTCACTGACTGGAGTCAAGGTGCAATAGGGGTTCATTGTTGTATTAAATCAAAAATGATATTATGACGGTCTAAGTTCACATGCCACTTGCGTAAATGTTTTATTAAATATTATCTAGTGTTCACTCAACATTACTATAATGTTGAAAACATAATTAGGTACATGAAATTAATATGGGGGGTGGCTTTTTTTTGGAGTTTCTTTTATATTCCAAATTTACAAAACATTGAAAGAGTTTCATAAGAGGACCTGATAGGTGTCACCTCTATCTTGATAGGACACTCAAACTGTATTTCTTCTTCGTCATCAGAGCATTGCAGTTGGGATGAGAAGCAGCTATCAGTGAGTGCGGGCGGTGTGGGGACTCCGCTGACGGTGGTGGCGGCGAGATGGAAGGTGTGCGGGTCATTGACCCCGCCCGAATCACGAGTCGTACAGCTGAGGGGACCAAAGGACGAGGACATCGCTACTAAAGATGATGGTTAGTGGATATTACATATATACCTACTAATATTATAAATACGAAAGTAACTGTCTGTCTGTCTGTCTGTTACGCTTTCACGCCTAAACCACTGAACTGATTTTAATGAAATTTGGTACAGAGACAGAGTTGACCTTGAGAAAGAACATAGGATAGTTTTTATCCTAGACTATTGAAAGGTTCTCTTGGAAACGCTATATAACCGAACTCCACGCGGGCGAAGCTGCGGGCGGAAAGCTAGTTATGTACTAATTTTATCATTTAATTCTATGCATTAACCAAGTAACGTACATGAGGCCTATATTTTTTCTTCCCTTATAGTTCCATTACTCATATTACGGTTGTTAATCAGCTGTATCCGTGTGTATCTATATCCTGTATATGCCTAGTGTGTGTATGTCTCTGTGTTGTATTATTCCAGGTACTTGGTGCACCCTGCTGCCCCCAGGTTCATACTCAGCCCGTGTGTCAGTCACCGAGCAGGAGCAGAGGGACGGCCTTCAGTGAGTATAATAATAATATATAATATATATGTATATTATGTCCCCACATACTTAACTATTCCCCTTCCCCTATTATTTCATTCCAGCTGAAATAATATAATTCAATAATTAGTGTATCATTACAATTGAGTTGCAGATTCAAATGGAAAATATAGAATAAATAAATGCTTTGACACAATCCAGATTCAAATCTGCAGCCCCAGGATATAGTACTCCATATGATTTAAGAGTTCATTGAATCTGTTCTGACTTTGAGTTTATGAGTTAATTCTTAATTGGTTATGTAGGGAGAGGAGCTTGGACGGTGGAGGTGAGCGTTTAACGCGCATTATATAGGGTCCTTTAAACCTACACCTGGGTCACAAGTCCCAGTCACTGTTGAAGCTCCTTTCACTACAACGAAAAATCCGACACCCGCATGGTGAATACATTGAATGATGAGAGTTTCGTCTCTATATGGAACCGTATTCCGCAGGTTCTATCCGGAAGTGCAGCAGGTGTCGGTGGGTGGCGCGCCCGTCAGCGGAGTCTCCTTCAGCCAGGTCCGAGCGCGGGTGAGAGGCTCCGTGGACTGCGCCCCGTACTGCCGCGGTCTGAAGGTGGCGCTCCGCCCCCTCACCGCCGACGGGACCTACGCTGGTCCGCCACGATATGCGAACATCGTCGGTCAGTATATATGAAGCTCGAAAATAAAAACAAAAAACATATTACATACAGTCAATCTGGGTAACTTTGATTCATCAGGTAACTTTGACAGTGGGACCATGAACTAGTTTCAATTATTTTTTCGCATGAAACCAACACAATTCATATATGTTTATTTTAGATTTGCGATTTTAAACAAGCTTCCTAAATGCACCTTAAAAAAAAGTAAGTTGTGAAAGTTAAAAAAAAAGTAAAAACTTTTTTTATGACTAGCGCGCGAATTTAAGTTTAGTTTAGGGTGAATAACTTTTTGAATATTTTGTGATTTTGGTTTATGATAAGGTAAGTGAGATGGTATACAGTGCCATTTGTGATTTTTCTACAACATTTTCATGAAAAATTTGAATATAATTACGTCTTATTTTGAAATTTCATGCAAAAATATGAAGATACGTATTTTGAACAGAAACTGGGTAAGTTTGACAGTGTCAAAGTTACATAGCAACTGAAATGGTGGAACCCTTACATAGAAACCCTTACATGAGTTTTGCAACATGCACATCAAAATATGTTGAGTTATCACCTGGAACAACGGTTATATTTAAAACAGAAGGCACACTGTTTCCAGGAAAAGTGACAAGTTTCACATTCCCGTATTATACACTTGTTGTCATGAGTAGATTAACACAAGGTGGTTGGAAATGGCCAGATAAAAGAGACATTATTAAAATTAAATATGATGATGTTGTATCTACAGTAGATAACATTAAAATCAGTATAAAACAGCCTGGGCTCTACACAATTAATGATGATTTGCTCTATATGGAGTGGGGAGAATAGACAATTTAGGCTCAAGATTTTACAAAATGTTTGTTTGTTTTAATTATTTTTGCTGGTTTTCTTTATAATTTGAATAAAAATGTAAAATTAAAGGAGTTTTTTAAGCGTTTTTGATGGTGTAAAAAATTGTGTGTAGCATTCCCAAATGTAGACTGATTCTTCACATTTTTTTTAAATATTAAAATAATACTTATAACTACTTTTTTATGCATGGCTCTGTGTGTGTCAAAATTACCCAACTTATGAGGGTAACTTTGACATACACAGAATTGAGATTTTATACTATTATATATTGATGTTTTATAAACTTTCTGTGAATGTCTAGAGACGGAAAGTAATACGAGAGCACTAATAAAATAAAAAAACATCCAAGTGATAGGTTTATTTTTTTAAATATAGTATAAAATGTCACCCTTATCTGTCAAAGTTACCCAGATTGACTGTATTGACCTTAATATTCATTTATTTATGGTAAAATGTTAAACGTTGAGAAGAAAAACGTTGTATGTTACAAGATGAATTAATTTAAAGGAAATAAGGGTATAATAAAACTACATAGACGTATAGGCTTATAAAGTTTGTTTGTATATATGAGACAAATATATATATATAAAAATAAAACCCGCTGTGTTTCTTTCGCCGGTTCTTCTCAGGTCAGGGTATTTTGTTTTCCTTACCGGTGGTAGTGTCTCAAGCGACCATCAATAAGAAAGTGTGATGCTTCTATATTGAATAAACTTATTTGAGTTTGAGTTTGCTCATGTTAGATGTAGCTTCTACAGTTATAGAATAAATGTCGTATGTTGATATTTCAGACGGAGCGTACACGTTCGAGGAGGTGGTCCCCGGCAGCGTGGAGGTGTCTGTGGTGGAGGAGGGGGAGGGCGGGGGTCGTCTGTGTTGGAGGCAGGCGGCGCACAACGTGGTGGTGGCGCAGGACCTGCCGCCCGTCACTGAGTTCACACTCACCGGCCTGAGACTAGCCATCACCGCCTCGCACGACATGGAGGTAACAAATATTTAGTACTAGCTTCGCCCGCGTGGAGTTCGGTTATATCGCGTCTCCAAGAGAACCTTTCAAAAGTCTGGCATAATAAAACTATTCTATGTTCTTTCTCAAGGTCAACTCTATGTCTGTACCAAATTTCATTAAAATCAGTTCAGTGGTTTAGGTGTGAAAGCGTAACAGACAGACAGGGTTACTTTCTCATATGTAATATTAGTAGGGATAGGTCTCGGTAGCTTAGAGGTTAAAGGCCCGCTTATCATACACGAGGGCCCGGGTTCGAAACCTAGCAAGCAACCAATGTGATTTTTCCGAGTCATATCTACTTTTAGAGTATTTAGACACCACTGACTGATGAAGGAAAAGATCGTGAGGAAACCTGAATTAATAATTTCAAATTATAAGTTTGAAATCACAAACCGGTCTTGAGCAATGGTGATTAATTAATGGTGAATGTCATTTTTCTATTGTAACTTTAAAAAAATACCTTAAAGAATATTACCCACGTCTACAAGTAGAAGCAGCTACGTAAAAAAACTTTATAAATGAATGCGAATAAAGCAAAATATGAAAGAATAGAATCCTAAAAACTTAGACTACTCTTTATTTTGATTTAATCATAGTTTCAATTGTCCTAGTCATGATGTACACATAAGAGTTATGGTTGTTATGATGCGAAGATGTGCGTGCGTGTATTAAGTTTTTGTCGTTCTTTATTTTAATGTTTAGTTTTAAAAAGTATGTAGTTATAATCTGGAGAAATTGTTTATTTACTTCTTTTTGTGTTCTATAATCATTTCACCGGTATCTTTTTTACTTGCTTTTATATCAGTTTTTTTGGTTGTATCATTTTCATTATACTTTAATATGTTACGGAGCGGTGCGTCGCTTTTAACTAAGTCAACATAATGTAGAAGGAGCAAGCTGAAAATCAGCGCTGGGCATGGCACAGCACATAGCTGAGCTTGTAACCAATTGCGATACAGTCGTCAATGAAAACGAGTGATAAATTAAAAAAAAATGTCTCCAGTATGAATAATTTGTATCTCTTAAAATATGTATGTTTTTTTTAGGAGTTATTTTGTAATGTACGACCTATCTAAAGCAATAAAATTTTATTGTTATTATTAATGTGAACATTCTCCATGTGAGAAGAGGCTTTTGCTGAGCAGTGGGTTCTCATATACTGATTATGATGAGTATATTTGATGTTCATGGTCGTGTCATATTTCCAGATAGAGTACTCGTCGGTCCACTCGTCGGGCGTGGTGCGTGTGTCAGCGGGTGTGAGCCAGGTGTGTGTGCCGCCCGCTCCCCGCTACACGCTCACCGCCCGCGGCTGTCACCGTGTGTCGCCCCCTACCGTCGACGTGGACATGCAGGGAACTGACATGCCGGTGAGGAACACACCACCAGAACCAATATATACTGATACATACCTCAATCTAGTTCGTTCGTGATTAGGGTTCATGTAAAGCAAGTGCTATGTCGGCTAAAAAGGAAAGGACCTAGCCTGATATTATAAGTAACAAGACTCGTATTGAATCTCCTAATGATGAAGGTTACTCTTGCCTGATCATACTCTTAGATGTGTTGATATGAAATTTAACAATAAAGATTGATTATAATATACATATTAATCTTTAAGCACATGTTATTTGTTTCTAAAAGCTAATTATTCAAGTCAGTAACCGTTGTATGTATGTGTGTGTTCCAGAGCGCATCATTCAAGGCGACAGCGCACGCGTCTACCATCACGATTTCATCTCCTGAGCGCGCTACAGACGTGAGGCTGCACGTGACCACGGACGGCGGGCCGGCCACCGTGGAGCTGAGGCCCGAGGCCAGCGGCGACGGGTTTATATACACACACACCATGTACCTGGCTGAGGTGAACACACACACACTACCATTATATAATGACGTACTGAACTAGACGTAGATGATGGGCCGAATAACATCTAGTAATAATAAAGCTTAAGATAGTCTGTAGGGCAGGGGTGGCCAACTTGATTAGACCTAAGATCTACTGTTTACTAACAAAACCCTGTGCGATCTACTAGGTACATACTTCTTGAAATGGAACTGCATAGTTTAGTACACAATCATGTATTTTTTATTAACCAGTCTTAATAGTTTCTTTTTATATCACATGTGAGATCGTTTTCTTAAATTTACTTAACATTATATGGGTCCTATATATTAGTGTGAGCATTGCGCCTGAACACTTTCCACTAGTTAAGCATAATAAGGTTATGAGGGTGTGTCAAGCGAGAACGGTGTTTAGTTTTGGTTTGTTTTAAGGAGGAAAATGCTGATTCACATAAATATGTTGAACCAAAACACGAATGAAGTTGTTCAACACATTTTTTCAAATTTGTATATTTTTCTTTGGAAACCAGTGCCGAAATCTTGACCTGTGGAAGATCTTGCTTTTAGAAATATGTCGCAGAGTAAAAAAATTCGTTTTGTAACATCATTTGGTTCATTTGAAATGTATCTGAAAATTTTGTAGCCAATTCATAGATATCACTGTGGTTAATGGCATCATCAAACGGATAACTTATAAATTGAACCCACTTCTCGATTTGTCTGAAATCACTAAACCAATTTTCAAAGTCTGCTATCACTAATTTCTGTCGTATACTTCTCAGAAATGAAATTATAGGTAGGATGTTTTTCCACATGATCCTTGATGTTTACAAATTAGGCTAAGGTTTAGAATATTAGAAGCCTTTAAAATTAATGAAAAGTGGAAAAAAATATAGTAGTATGAAACCTATTAAAAAGGGAGGGGAATATTTTAAAAATTAAAGGAAAAATAATTAACGGGCGATCAAAGGTCGGGAAGGGTATGAAGGTGGATATTTAAGGGTAAAAAATGGGTTTTCTCGATTTCCGGCAAAACTAAACTTCCTACGAAAAAAAGTTATATGACAAAGTTGTAGGTAATAAAAAGATTCTACACCTTTGTACGTACATTTTTTTCACTTAATCTCAAAATTTATGTGAAAAAGTCATAGAACCAACTTTTTTGTTTTAAATTTTTATCTCTTCAAAAAAAACAATATTTTGTCACGAAATTTGGTGAAAACTTATCTTTTAATGTCCCAAATACACTGTAATTTATTTAATTAGAAAAATTTATTTTTTCAGCTTATTTTGAATAAATATCGAAAACTCAGCCTCATTTTCAATCGAAAAATCACCCGTCTAAATATCAGCTTTTTTCAAAAACTTGGTATGTTATCTATTTGTTGAAATCTCTATTTTCCGATGGTGTAGAACCGACCTCAGATCGTCCGTTAATTATTTTTCCTTCAATTTTTATGATATTTCCCCCCTTTTCCAATGGGTTTTATCCTACTAAAATTTCTTTTTAGTTTTAAAAGCTATCGACACTGGTCTGAATTGCTCGAATTTTTTCTTCTGTATGTCAACTATTATAGATTCTGTTTGACTTTGAAACGCTGCAATAGAACTCATCATTTCTATTAATGTTTTATTCCTTCCCTGTAGATTCAGATTTAATGTACTCAGTTTACCAGTAAAATCAGCCAAAAAGCTAAATCATACTGCCAGTCCAAATCACGCAATTGATGACAATCATCACCCCTTTCTTCAAGAAATATTATTATTTCTTCCAAGAGATTTCGAAATGTTTCCAAAAATTAGCTTCGGCTTAACCACCTTACGTCAATGTGCAATACCAATTCTGGTTGCTTTTCATCTAATTGCTGTTTAAAGAGTCGACTTGGAAGGGATTTTCCTTTTATGGAATTTACAATTTTAAAAGAAATTAATGTCTTCAACTGTCACCTGACTGATTATTGGGTGACACGGGACGGATTGACACTTGAGATACGGCGCTCCCCCGTAACACACGCTTCCCGCTTATTGGTCATTGCGTGTTAAAAACAAAACACTATAATTTGTAGAAGAGAGCATAAATAACGTGACGGAACAGCGATTGAAAAATGATACAAGACGGTGCTGCAGTTGTTGATAATTAAAATGCGCAGTCTGGTCTATTTTTATTTATATTTCTTGACTGGCCACGATCGACTGGACTAACGATCGCGATCGACCGGTTGGCCACCCCTGCTGTAGGGAATACATGACCTGCCGAGTCGAACCTGTCTACTGATCTATGTATATATAACCCGCTTATCAATCTTCCCTGCGTATTCTTCAGGGCGAGGTAGCGTCCGTGCTGATGGAGTCGTCGTCGCTGCTGTCGGTGCCGGGTGGGCGGCAGCAGGTGGTGGGCGCGGCGGGCTGCTCCAAGGCGCTCGCTCTCAGGGCGGTCCGCGCGAGGAAAGTCATGGGACGAGTCGTACCTCCCGTGGAAGGAGTCACCATCACGCTGCAGGGAGGTAGGTTTTACTTATATGGTTCATAAAACTCTTAGACCGCTCCGTAGATATAAGATACATCTTAAATTTTATTTATTAAACAAATGTATAAATACAGGGTGTATGAAAAACTGTGTCAACCCTTGAAGTCATGTATACATATAAGTATAAGCTTATCATAAAAAATAGTATAACTTAAAAAATATCAAGCAGACGTCAGTTACAGTGCATAGGCAAATAAGTTTTAAATCGACATTATTCGAAGAAATGTTCCAAACATCTGACTCATACAAGGTCAAGACACCGTATAGTCGCAACGGCGCATGCGTGACCATTGACCGCAGGCGCCGGGCCGCCGGCGTTATTATTACTATTCTGTTAGTTGTTCGAATAGAGATTTGAAAGTGTAAAAATTAGTTATATCGATAAATATTCTATCGACATTTTCAATATTGCTATAAATAGTTATGCTTTTCACATTAAAATAATTTCATTTAAAATAACTTTTATTAATAATAAATATTATAATTTGAAACGTGTTCAGGTAAATTAACTACATATGTTGTATTATTAGGATAAATCGTTAATCTATTTCTGTTAAAAATGGTGTTTTACAATCAAACATAATATTAATGTTTCATATATCAAAATAAGTATCGAAATAATATGAATATTAAATATTTATTTATTGTTATGATTTTTTAAATATCGATATTTTCAATAATGTGAAAGTAATTTCAAGGTCGTCACTAGTAGCGCAGCAGCTGTGATGACGTCATTGCGTGTCATCGTGTTATACCAGGGCTTACAAACATTTTGTTACTCTACATATAATAATCATTTAATATTTAATTTTATTATTTTTATTGAAGAGTTTGTAAATGTAAGTTGTTTTATTGTGTTACCTTATCGATACTGATAACGTAGTTAAGAGGGTTGACACAGTTTTTCATACACCCTGTATAAATTATGTATACTTATTCGAAAAATATTAACAAACCGTACTCATTCTCAAATTACATTTAAAACCAAAACCCATTCTTATCACACAAGGAACAGATATAAACTAGAAACACCTAAAACTCGCACCAAGTACGGCATTAAAACTATTGAATTTGACGGAGCACAGCTGTATAACACTTTGCCTCTAAGTGTTGTCAATTCAAAATCTCTAAATATGTATATTTAAAAACGATTAATAACCCATATATTAGATGATTTCACTGATCTTGACTAATATCACTATTGTTTATCAATTGTTATCTTAATTGTAATTATAATTTTTAAAATTTTCTTTTCTTTTTGGAAATAAACTTCTTCAAACCTATCTTCTCTCGTGTTCCAGGTGACGTAAAGCTATCCCAAGTGACCAAGGCCGATGGTCTATACAGCTTCGGTCCGCTGGACGCGTCCGTGTCGTACAGCGTGACGGCCGAGAAGGAGTCGTACGTGTTCAGTGAGGTGGAGCCCTCAGGAGACGTGCGCGCGCACCGCCTGGCGGAGATACAAGTACAGCTGGTCGACGACAACGACAACCAGCCGCTAGAGGTAACATACATACATACAGTGACCAACACGATCATACATATTATAAAGACACCTCAAGTATTTATTCAAATTTAACTTTGACGATATATCAGATACACAGTTCACATACTTTTGCATATATGGCGTTAGTAGTTTCAACAGATACAATTGATCGAGTAACATAAATTGTAAAAGAAGTTACGAGTACATAATGAGGAATGACACACTTTATAATCGGTTCTCATTAGAAGTAGTAAAATTAACGTCTTAAAATCGGAAATGTAAACATATATTGTGTTGTTGACGTCACCAGGGGGCGCTGGTGTCCATCTCGGGCGGCTCGTTCCGTCTGAACGCCCTGTCAGTAGAGGGCCGGGTGGCGGCTCGCTCGCTGGCCCCCTCCTCCTACTACGTGAAGCCTCACATGAAGGAGTACCGCTTCCAGCCGCCCCACACGCTGCTGGACGTGGCCGACGGACACACGCACACGCTCACCTTCAGGTACACAAACACACACGCTCTTTCCACTGTATTGTTAATCATTCTTACTGAAAAGTAATCGAAACTTCGACTTTAATCTAGTACAAGACAATACGGAAGATACATTTTTATTACATGACTAGCGACTTGCCCCGGCTACGCATGGGTGCAATGCTGATGCTAAATACATTGCAGTAAAACTGTGAACGTTGTAATGGATGTTATTATACATATAGCGGCTTCACACGGGCACTAAACATGACATTTACACTAATATTTTGTGTCAAATAAAAAAATTAGGAAATTTAATTCTTAGATATTATTCTGTCATCTTAACTGCCCGAATGAGCCCTACAACTCTGCAACGCATTGTTAGCTGCCGAGCGGATGTTTTTCAAAACTTTTAACTCTGATATCTTTTGAATGGGATGTCAGAATCTAATAATTCAAAAAGTTATATAAATGTTTCAAAAAGATCTTAAATAATAAATAATTTATTTTGGTAAGGATTTATACAAAGGTACAATTAAAAAGCCTTTTCAAGCAGTGGTATTTTAATTATTATTATTTTTTTAATCGGTTATTGTGACAAAACTATGTATAATAGTTAGAGATATAATGTTGCGACTTTCTTTGTAGATTGTAAGTTCTACAAAATTGTAGTACATCATTTTCGCGATTAAAGAAAGTTTTTTGGTATATTTTTACATTATCGGAGTTTTGGTAACGAAACCTATTTTTTTTTAAAACTACATATATAGCCTTTGTCACTCCGTCATAGTATAGCTTTCCAACGGTAAAATAATTTTTCAAATCGGTACAGTATTTAGTTTGTGATTAAAGAAATTTATTTTCCTCATAAAGAACATACAATGTTCACTTAAATGAGATGTATTACATAATTTAATTTTATTAACAATTTAGTATAGTAGTAACGACTTAAACAATTCAAGAGTAGTTAATCTATGTGCTTTTTACAATAAGTTAATAATTTCTTTCTAAAAATCGTAAAGGTATTTTCAATAAAATTTCATTAGGTAAGCTATTATATCCTATTCGAGACTAACAAACAAAAAATCAAACCTTTCCTTTTTATAATATTACTATAGACAAGTGACATGGGACATTAATGTTTCAGAGGTGTCCGCGTGGCGTGGTCGGCGGTGGGTCGCGCCGTGTGTGTGGGCGGCGCCGGCGTCCCGGGGCTGGCCCTCCGCGCCGTGGGGGAGGGCGCCTGTCACACGCAGGATGCTGTGTGTGACCAGGAGGGGTACTTCCGGTGAGGAAACGGATCTAGCACTCACTAATACTCATATTAACTTCCTGGACCTCTCCCGATGTGGAGTTTCCTTAGTAAATATACCACTAAGAGACTTGAAAACGTTATATTTTGTATTTCTTTTTTCATTTTGTCTTCAACCTAACACCTTTTTAAATGTATGTACTTAAATTTGTGGACACCGTTATGTATTACTCAGGATGTAACAACACCTAAACGGATTTAATCCATTTTACACAAGTAAATAGTTGTTTTTGCTAAAATAAAGCGTGCTACTCTATTTCTATCAATTTGAATATTCATATAAGTATTTAACCTCCAGTATCCGCGGCCTGGTTCCCGGGTGTACGTACTCCATCCAATTAAAAGAATCTTCGGAGCCGGCGCGGTTAGCGGACACTCCGCTCGTCATTAAGGTACATAGGGATTTATTATCTTCTTCTATATAAAATACTCGTGCCACAATGTTTGTTCCCGTACTCCTACAAAACGATTTGACCGATTCTCATGAAATTTTAAAGCATACCTGTAAATGATAAGAGTTATTCACCCTCTAAATTTTATATTAATTTTTGGAAAAGAAATTTTGTTTGTTTTTATTTATAATGTGGCATTAAAAATACATACAATCCAAAAATTGTACTTTTATCACCGACCCCTATTTTTTATATGTCAAAACAAGGTTTGTCCGGTCAGCTAGTTTAGATAATAAAATAATGAAACTGTAATATAAGTAACATATATTCGTTCCCAGATGTCAGAGCGTGACGTGGTGGGTCTGCGCGTGATAGTGACCCATCCACCGCAGGTGTCCGATACACTGGTACTCACTCGCTGTTCCAACCCCGACCACTACAAGACACTCCGCCTCACCCTGAGCCGCGAGTCCTCATCTCCTGTATTCTCCACCAAGCTGGACGCTGCGGGCTACTCGCAGGTCAATAACCCCGGCCTGCTGTACCCGCTGCCCCGCCTGCCGGCCGATAATAACTCTTATGTGATCACCTTAGAGTCCACTCTGTCCAAGGTCACTCACTCGTATGACGAGCCCGTCTACTACTTCGTGTCGGACGGCAGCTTCCGGTATTTCGAGATCAATTTTGATCCCAAGGTGAGTTCTTCGTATATAATGTTCAGTCTTAATAGTATATTATTGTATAACTAATTGTCATCACACTCGTACTATCCATTTCTCAAGAAATATCACGAGAAAGTATATTGTTAAGTGTAACAGCGTTAGTTATTGTTACGAGTTGGGCCTCAATGAGCATTGAATAATGAATTAAAGTGAAAACACAAATATTTATTTTTGTAGAAACACTGCCTTTAGACTGACCTCACGTTCCTTTTACATACAACAATATGATTTCTAGAATATTCCATACCATTCTTCTGTACATTTCTACTTGTTTACAAACATTGACAACAAGAATATTCTAGAAAACTTGATCCACTCGTCACGAGATGGCGCTATTTTAACGTCAAGAATATTCTACCATATTCTCCAAGCCGCACTTTGACCCTGTCTATCATTATTGTAAATCATCATTTTTAAATTATAAAACAAAATCAAATAATGACTCATATCGTCGTTCAGAAAACTATAAGTTCGGTACATATGAGGGTTATATTTAACGTGTTGGACTTGTACATTCCAGGTGAAGTCTTCAGAGCAAGAGCTCCGTCAGTCGTCGCTGCTGCTGTTGCCGCTGCTGGGCGCGTTAGTGATGCTGTACATACAGAGACACCGACTGCTGGCCCTCATACCTGAACCCATTAAAAAAGTACCGCGGAAGAAGACGCAGTAGACATACATAAAACTTAACGACTGTAGAAGAACAACTCGTGTTAACTGAACACGTAACGTGCTAATAACAATTTCTCCTGAGGGATCCCTCATCATCAGCAGCAAGGATCAGCATAGAAACGATTTTATATAACATTTAAGTTATTTTAAGGTTACCCGTATTATTTAATTTGATGGAACACAGAGTTACAGTGAGAATATATAGAGTTAACATTCCATCGAAAAAAGTGTTAGAGAGGAAGTGGCTTGAATTATAATTTATAAATATTATATAATATAAGAGAAAAATTACAGAAAATTAATTTAATGATTATCGTATCGATCAATATGTATATATTTATATATAGTTGGTTGTTCCCTGTGTTGTGTTTATTTATGTGTGATGGTCAATAAATGGGAATGTTCATTGTGTTCTTTTATTGTTTTATTTAAAACTGGCTAACGAGAAGACGGTCTGCTTGATTGTAGGTAGACCGTCGGCCATTAACATCTGCAACATAAGGAATGTAACGGATGCGTAGCTGACCTTGATTGTAGGGTAAGGAAAGGAAAGGAAAAGGAAAATCTTGACCAATTAGTGGCGCAAGAAAAGACATTGCAAACTAGCAATTAGCTAATGAGCCGGGCTAGTACGAAGATCATGTTTATCGATATGAATTAATCTACATAAAGCAACCAGTACATACCTTTTGCTATTATAAAATATAAAAAAAAGCAAAGGTAGCCCACAAGAGGAAGGGCGAGAGAGGCAGGAAACAGGGGAAGGGCAACCGGCTCTCTCACTCATTGAACGAAAAGTAGCTATCAAAGACTACTTCACGGCGATCTTCTGTGAGAGGGTGGTGCTGGTAATAACTTGACTATAGCTAAGCTCTATCACTTTATAAAATTTCAAATATAATACGAGAGGCTAAAAACTCTTTAGTCATTTGATTGAGCCACGAATCAGAATAATAAAAGGTTAAAATAAATTGAGTATTAAATCATATGTGGTGGTCAACTTTATCATTAAAAGATATATAAACTTGGTACAAAAGAATCAATTATCTGATAGATAAAGTTTGCGCATTAAAACTTAATGTTAAATCAATAGATATTTTATTTTATTTATTTTTTAAGGAAAATAGTAACAATTACAATATAAATTAATGTTTTATCTATAGCAGGAGTATCTCTGGGAGCATTCAGCCAGCGAGCGCGCGTGGTGATCCCATAGACGGGCATTCTCACGACTGGAATATTACATATACAGAATTAAATAAATATTTATATCAAATTTCTGAAACTGAAATAATATATTTAGTATTTGCCAGTACAATATTGATAAGTGTTATACTTAGTCTTTGAAGACTTTTCCGACCGCTCATAATATTAACATACAAACCAGTGTTACTGAAGATGTTTTAATATAACGTGTGTCTTTGTTTTGTGTAAGAGCGCATGTAGAATTTAGCATTTAATATCAAATTGGTTCATTCAGATTTATTTCGTTTAAAATCGATTAGTCAACAAAGAATATTTCTAGTGATTATTTTTTTTTATTTTTTATTGAAAATCAAAGAGAATATATAAAACGAAAAATTCATCAACACATCGAATCATTGAAAAAGACCTTTTAAAAGAAAATTAAGTTTTTAACAGAAGCAATAGAACAAATGTTAAAACGCTTCATAATGATTTATAAATACTAAAAAATGTGGTTTTATAGTCCGTGTATGTCCGTGTATATATAATAATACTTACTTGACAAAATACAATTCAAAAGCTGCGAAGAAGTTCCTGTTGGATCTGGCGTGAAGTCTGCACAGTCTTAGCTTCTCGCACTCTTCTTCACTACAAAGAATATGATGAACGAACACCATTAGTTTTATTAAATTATTAAGATTATTTATAGCAATGTATACACAAGTCTTTTTTGCATTAATTTACCTTCTTTTCGCTCTTATCTTGGAAATTACTTTGTCCGAAAATCCTCCATTGACCAGCGATGGATTCACAAATCTTTTTTCTATGTTGTGCTCAATTGTACTGTCGTTGATGACATCTGAAAAACAGTTCAAATATATCGATTGTAACGAAATTTTCTTTTGAACAAATATAATTGAGTTTGCAAATTATACATAGAATATATAATTCACCTGTTTCTAAATCTCTTAGCGATCTACTTTGGACAATACCAGCAAACAGAACTGACAGAATAACAATGAATATGGTTTTCATTTTGTAACAATTACATTTATTGTATCTTACAACAACTAAGAGAATTAAATTTTTGAAAAACACGTGAATGTATATGTTTCATTTTCCTTATTTTATTGTAAAGCTATATATACGAAACAAGTCCTCCCCTCCACGGACAGACCGACGTACAATTGACGCGATTCACGCTTTATATTGTTTAAATAAATATGAAGAAGTGATTATCTCCGTGAGTTTCAATAATAGTATGGATTAACACCAGTTAGAATTGGTTCAGCAGCGATGTTTGTTTTTAACAGCGTTCAGCGATGTTTGTTTTGTGGGTATCGTTTTTTACCAGTAATAAAACTGTTTTTAACAAAAATAACTTATTTATAAAGTATGTAGTTAAAGAGCAAATAATGGGATAATAGTAAGTATCAGCACAGTTAAAAACTTTTTTACATACATATATTATTTAATATTATTGCTTTTTGTATTTAGAAGGTGTTGGGGTTGCTGAGTTGGGTAAAAATTTTGATGATACCTAATCTCTAAAGTTAAAATTTCCATTTTAAATATTTGTTTTAAAAATACTGTTTATTTAAAACATCACGTCTAACATATTTTAGCGGATACTGGAAAATCATTTTATACAAGGGGGCATTCCACTAAAAACCATTAAAAAGCTACTTATAGCTGTAAGAGCTATGTATTTAATCTGTATTTCAATAGAAGATTTATTTTTTAAATTCTTGTGTACAGTAAAGGGTGACTTACACACTTTAAATTAAGCTTGCATATGATTAACATTTTCCTAAATAACGTTTTGTTAACGATTTTGTTACTCGATATTTTTTTTTTCTCGATATGGAGACAAAAACGTTTTAAGTAATTATTTTTCTTTGCTTATACAGTTTTTGAGCGCAGATTAGATTTATAATGAAGAGTATGTTGTCTCTCTACTTATGAGATTTCAAATTTCGCGAAGGAATATGTCAAAATTAATATACATGTATATTACATTTTCTTATCAGCTCATCAATAAAATTTGTAGCTTCGTAGAATAAAATGCAATAAGTATGTAGTATGTGAGAAAAAATATGTTTACGCGAACGTACCCGAATACAGAAGCTAGATTTTAATCAAACAGTTTTCGTGACAAATTTACTGTAATAATTATCAAGATCAACTTAAGCTACGTTTACTTCAGTCACATGTTTAAGGAGCCTAACACGACTCACCAACAACGAGATGATTCACGAACATATTAATATACGGCACCTCTATCAATATTTAAGCTACGTCAGAAAAAAAACCTCGTTAGCTCCAGCGACTTCATTTATTTTTACATCGACTTGTTTGTTCTCGTTACGACACTCATATCAAGGAGGGTTGGTGCTCCTTGAAATAGAACCTGAAGGGGCCAAGGGTGCTTCTAAGAGGCCGGACCTGAACTTAGGCTCCATTCTTTTCGAGGCATAAATACGGCGCGAGTAGTAATGTGTTTTAAAGCTTGCTCGCTGACTTGAATTTAATTAAAACGATATCCACATATTTACTTAAGTATTATTTTTATGATAATGGTGGTAATCGAGTAGACAGCCTACCTGATGGAGGTAGTACAGTCGCTCATGGATAAAAGTATTTTGCGGATACAGTGACACCCTTGATTGGGGAAGAGAGAGAGAAAGGATGGGAAAAGGGAAAGGGTAGGACTTTTCCTAAGGAAGGGGCAACAGGTTCTCTCTCTCTTCTGATGAAACGTATAACTTCTAAGATAACATCGCGCCGTTTTTCTGTGAGAGGGTGGTATTTCCCTTGACAAGTTAGCCCATGCTAGAGCTATAGTAACTTGACCACAGCTAGGCTCTACCACCATAAACAACAGCTTTGCTCAGTTCTTAAGCTTTATATTTATTATTGGAAATGCTTTATATTTATCATGTATTTTAAAATCTACATTTCGTATAATGAGTTTTTTTACAAAATAAATTGTGTTATACAATAGGTATACTTAGTACTAAAGATTTAAGTGATCACATATAAATACACGAATGAATACTATGTTACATTTCACCGACTTTCCGCCTACTCGGCAATCGTGATCAGGGCAGCCGAGATGTCATTTTGTCATAGGCATATCTCGTCTGCAGTGATCTGACGAGATATGCCTATGACTCGCGAAAGTCTTAGATCTCATTAGGGCATTTTATTCGTCACTATAAGAGAATTTGAAAGTATTAAGTGTATAGTCCGTTAGATTTAAGCTGAGATTTGCAATTGTGTGAGTGAAAGTAAAAGTAGAGTTAGATAAAAAACTTTTAGAATTAAATTTATTATATTTTAAATAGATACATCATACATACAAGTACACGCTCTATTCTAGATTAAAAATAAATAAGCAAAACTTGTAAAAGGCTAAATGGAAATATTATGGAAAAAAATTATTATGTAATAAAAATTTTGAAAAAACAATACAATTTTTTTTTATGTTTAAAAGGGGGCAACCGAGCAGACAGCCTACCTGATGGAGGTAGTACCGTCGCCCATGGACATCCGCGACATAAGGCATGTTGCAGATGTGTCACCACCCTTGATTTGGGAAGAGGGGAAGAAAAAATGGGAAGGGGAGGAAAAAGGGAAGGAGTAGGAAAGGATGGAAAAGGGGAAAGGGCACCCGGTCTCTCTCACTCATCGAACGAAACGCAGTCATAACAGGCTACTTCACGCCGATCTTCTGTGAGAGGGTGGTACCTCCCTGGTCGTGCCAGAACATGTTCGAGCTGCAATCACTTGACCACAGCTAGGCGCTACCACCTTGAAAGTCTTCACTTGACATTCCGTATTCAAAACATTTGAAGTTGCTACCATTGCAAAGGGTGAAGTGCGGAAGGTGCGAGGCGGAGTAAAAGCAGTATAAGCCGGTTGAAGACTAGGAAAGAACGTGGCATCCAAAATATGACATCACACTTACACTATCCGTGTGCACTCACACAAATTCAAAGCTCAGCTTAAATCAAACGCACTATAACATATTTTAATATTGTCATGGTTTGTTGGATCTGGCCTTTATTTTAAATTTTAATACTTCACAACAACCTGAAGCAAAATTCTTCACGTTACCATATAGAGTAAGATCCAGCAGAAAAAAGAAACCTCTATGTCATGCATTCTTTCTATACTTTTATTTAACATGTATGTACCTTTTTTTTCTAGACTTGAGTTTACTTTCATCGATACTAGATGACCCTGAACAGGTCCCATAACAATTATTATTCATTTTATTAAAGTCGACTTCCGAAACACTTTGGATAAACTGACTGAAATTTAAATAAAAAAGTAAGGATGATTGTGAACAGAATAGACACTTTTTTTCAATGAAATTACTAATAATTAAATATCAAATACGGCTTAAGTCATTACGATACGAAACAAACAAAATTTGTTTTAAATTTTTGTTCATAATCGTAATTTCAATAGTGATACTTTCTAATTGAATGAAATAATATGAGTTTCAAATATTTGGCATCAAACACGTGAAAATGAATTACATCCATATTTCATCACTTCTTGTATTATATAGTGAAATAGTAAAAGTTATTGCGCAACTTCATCATGTAAAGAGACAAAACCTCTTAGTCCATAATTTAAAGATATTAATAAAAAAAAACTTTTTGTAATTTTAGAGCTCCGAATTGACAAAATTTTAAATCCTTTTTAAACTTATATTTTTTCCAAGGAATAACAATTAAAAAATCTATGACTCCTTCCGACACTAGATAGAGCTACTAGCGGTTGATATTTTTTTTTTGTATAAGCTATAAATACAAACTAGAAACATAAAAAGGTTTATGTAAAAATTTATTGCAACTGGTAAAATATTTTTTTAGCTATAAATTGATCAATTACACTTGTTTTCAAGTTTTATTATTTTGTAATAATACAGCTACTACTCAAAAGATGGCGCTGTTTGTAACATATTTCTGTAGTGTGCTAGAATTTTCCCGACAATTCTCGCCGCTTCTTGATAACAGATGACGCCAATACTATCGGTATATAAGGATCGGAGCGCGGAGACGCATCTTAGTCACGAGTAAACAAACAAACGATTACGTTACGAGGCAACGAGAAGAAAAACAACAAACATGTCCCTGATGCCGTATTGGTTGCGACATTTGAGGAATCTGGCGTATCGGGACCCGGTCACCAGGATCCTCGAAGACCCGTTTGCCGTCTTCGCGAGGGACCCCTTCTTCAGAGACCCGGCTAAATACATCAGGCAGGTCACAGCGCCTTTGGAATCGGACCACGCTATCGAAGGAATTTACTCTGATGCCGAGTTAAAGGTCGACAATAAGAAGATGGAAGTTCATCTAGACGTTCAGAACTTCACGCCGGAACAGATCCAGGTGAAGACAGTCGGTAATGAGATCACGGTCGAGGGGAAAAAGGAGATTAAGCGAGAAGATGGCTGGACCAAGAGTCACTTCGAACGACGTTTTCTATTACCCGAAGGTTTCCCACCGGAGAGAGTGGAGTGTCATCTTGATAAAGGGAAATTGAAGTTGGTGGCGTTCAGAGCGGAACCTCTGACAGAGAGGAAGATACCGATTCAAGACAAGTCTGATAGTGATAAGAGTTAGGAAGGTGAACTATAGGTAACTGTTGTGCAATATTTATGTAAACTTTATTTAGACTGATTGGGTTAGTTATTTTAAGCACTTTTATTTGAAATAAATGGTTTTAATAAATTGACTGACGTTTTTTTTTATTTTATAATATCGTATATACAATTGTTCCCCGTTTTAAATAATTTTCATCTAAAGTGTAGCTAAAACAAAGTTTAAGTAAAATTTTATTTGATAGAGTAAACTTGTGGCTATTATACTGAAAGACGGGTGGACCGTGGTCACTCCCACAGATGAACATCAGTATAAGCTATATTTAAAGAAGCAGATTGTATCTGATAAGAAAAATAAGTTTTAATGGAATATTATTATCAGCTGAGTGAGTTCTATATTAACTTAAAATGTTCACATTTCTTGTACATATTGTAAGTTTTTAAATAAAATTATTTGACGTAAAATAATCATATAGTATACTTCTATGAAATCGCAGACTGAAAATAATATAAGAGGTCAGTCAGTACCGCTCTGTTCAACTCATGCGATATCTTCTCAAGTACGAAACATTATCAATAATTATTTTCAGCCGAGTGTATGTTACGCCTACAGACTCTGTCTGTTTTATAATCCTGATCTGACGTTCAACACATTCTGAATTGAGATCGAGTCACGGGTTATTAATGAAAAGCTTCTTACAAATCGTATTTTCAAGTGGAAGAAATGGTTATACGTATATTTAAAATAATCTCTAATCATAATCTATTTGTGAATTTTTAATACACACATACATACATTTTTGCCTACCTTTTTCTTCAGTCTTCGTCTCTAATAGGACTTGAAATTTCGCCAAAATGTCCCCTTATAATTCCTCACCACGGATTACATAATATTTTAATAAGAGGTAACAGACTGAAAGTCAGAGGTAAAGATATAGATGAGATTAATTTAATAGAAATTCAAGACTAGATATAAAGTAATGAATGAAGCGTTCTTTTAACAAAACAGTAATACTACAAGCAATAATTGGCTTTATATTTTACGAGTTGATGAAAATAATAGATGTAAATACAATATCTCGTCTTTAATAATGGTTAAATAGTTTTTATGGAGGTCAGTGATTGACTGTGTGATGTTAATTAACGTTGAGGTGTGGCACAACCCTTCACACATCATGTTTACTGAGGACATTGACCTTTTAACTACCCCCAAATATGTTATATTGTGTCCATTACTATGATACATATTAAAAGCAAGATTTCACTTAAGATTCGAGTATTAAAATAATTCAAAACTATATATATTCGTGACTATTTATTTTTCTTATCGATTTTAATTCGATTTAATAAATATTGTATTAATAAGTATACATGTACATATAATATTTATATATGTTATTGGTAATATAATAACTGGTCAGTTTTAAGTGTAGTAGTGAGCTATTCAGTCTCAGTCGTGAGCGGACCTCCCAGTGAGAGGTTACATTATTTCGGTAATGGTGTGGAAAGGAAAATAATGAAATCGAGTGATTTAAAATTAAGTCCGGTAATAGTTATCACTATTTAAATATATAATAGTTTTTCTATTACAAGTATTATATTGTTCTTATTATTTATTTGTTTTATAAAGGTTATTGTGTTATTGAGAGTCAAAAAGTACCATTAGTATGTGGATCTTGATTTGCCAAGTGAAATGCTTTATTTAAATTAATATACATATTAGTAATTTATTTTACGTCCGTGGAAATGTATAAGTCGTAAGGAATTCATATGTAATGTGTTCTTAAAAAGTCATTTTTCTCGTATTTTTAAGTGACTCGAAATAAATATTTTTTCTCTCTTCATCTTTTGAATTGTTTTCATATTATTGATATGGAAGCCTTAATGTTTCTTTTTTTTATTAAAACTATAAAAAAGTTCTGCATCTTTCATATGAAGGAATATTTTTAAAACAAAATATCTTTCATCGTTAAAGATAATTTACCAACATTATTAGTTCAACTTTGTATTGTACCTGTATTTTGAAGACTCATTTCTTTTGATATATACCTATATACATAAAAATGAATTGCTGTTCGTTAATCTCTCTAAACTAGAGAACGGCTGAACGGATTTATCTGATCTTAGTCTTGAAATATTCGTGGTGACTCAGGGAAGGTTTAAAAGTTGAAAAAAATTGATTCATTTCCTTGAAAACCCTAAAACAGCCCTTTGCTATTTCCCATACAAACGTTTTTTTGACATTAGATTTGACAACTAACTAATATGTCAATCATTCTGTTTGATTGAAAAAGAAAAAAATTAATAAATACCTGGTTATTTATTTCGTAATAGAGTTCGTCCGGTCAGCTATACATAAATTACTAATGACAAAATAACGCGGACGAAGTCGCTGACAAAAGTAGTATTAATATAAAGGTTTGTCTGTGTTCACACTCACACAGTCCCGTGTGATGACAGTCATTCACTCTAAATTATTTCCGTGTGACTGAAACTCTGTAATATTGACTCCATCATGGCTGAACATATATAATACATACACACACACACACATATATATATATATATATATATATATATATATTTCTTATATGTTCTATATATTCTCGTGCAGGTGAAGTTCTCTTGAAATGAATCGGTGAAAGAATTTAAATCGGCCGTCTGCTTGTAGTTGTACGAAGCTTAACAAAGTGATGTCGTCTAAAGATACGAGTACATCTCAAGGTATTGTATTCACTATTCGATTATTATGTAATATTTTCAGTTGCAGTACTGTAAGGAAACATGACCGTCAAGTATTAGTAACTAACGTGTAATAAACTAAGAGATGTTTGTTTATTTACGAGCTTCGTTAAAACGCGTTCAGCTCGATGGACTGTTTATTCGTCCGTCAGATCATAACTCAGGAACCACAAGTCTATGATTCCCGAGCCGTGATCTAGCGGGAGTGATTCCGATTTGTTTTATGACTTTGTTTTCGTTACTGCTCAAGTTTTTTCTATTAATCTGAGAGCCGAGTTCTTGTTAATGAGTAAAAACACTTTCTGCTTTCACTAAATTACGTTTTATCATCAACAGCTGAAAAATATTTCAATGTGATTTAGACTTGTGAAAACAGAAAACTGTAAGTCTGACGGCTGTTGACTTTTAAAATTGTAAATGTTTTACTTCCAAGAAACAAAGTAAAGATTATTACTTTTCGACAAGTAAAAAAATTACCAAAGCATTTTAGCGTTATTTATTTAAAGTTTTTCAGTTCTTTATAATATTGAACATAATTTTTTGTTCCTGAAAAAACAATTTCACTCACGCGATAAACGATAAGTAGCGCTAATAAACAAACGGTTATCTAGATTTATCAGATTATAATTACAATTGTATTTTTAAAATATTGTTAATATTATTTCAGGTATGGAAGTTCTGAAAGGCCTCGACCGTCTTATAGTCCGTGAGAGGAGTGATAGTTCGTGTGGCCGGTACGCGGTGCTGACGAGTGAGGGTGTGGAGGTGATGCAGGCCAGAGAGAACACGGGGCTGCTGCACCAGGTGCTGGCCGGACGGAGCAGGGCCTTCCATATAGATATATATGATATGGACCAGCACGAGGTAAGTTGGCGACTATCAGGTGTTATCTAAAAGGTTCCTGAGTATTGCCGCTACAGTCAGGTGTTGTAGAATATATCCACTAAGAGGTTTCTGAACGTTACATCTCTACCCTTATCTTTTTAACCTGATGTCTTTATATATTTATGGTGAATCCATTGAATGCTAAGAGGTTCGTCTCTTTGTCTTCTTCTTCTTCCTGGCAATTTCCCAGGCTTAGCCAGGGTCTGCCTTCCTATATATATATAAATTTAAAATAATCTTTGTATATATATAAATTATGTAGGGTGGCAACCGGAGGTTCCAGGAAATAATGAAACTTACTTATTGTGTATGTACATATATTATAATAAGAATGACATATTATAACCTTATATAATCTACCCTGCACCTAAGACTACATGATTGCCCCGAGGTTAGGATAGCAATATCATTCCATAGCTATCAGGAATCTTCTGGTTCACACGGCTTCGTGTTCGTTCCGCGGAGTCAGCAGCGTCACTCGTTATATGATATTTTATTTATACAAAGATGTCGCCCCGGCGATGTTCATTTATTTTTTATGTTGCGTTACGTAACAAATAACTTAACTACACTCGTTAACAACATATAAAACAGAACACCTTAAACTTGTATATTAATAGAACTTTCATATAATTTATAAAATACTTCGCATCAGTAACTGTTTTAGATCCTGAAACGAATGTAAATTAATATTCATTGAGGTTAATGTCAAGGTCGCCCTGTAATATAACTGGCGTGACTTTCATTGGAAGTTAAGGGAATAAAACACGCAAACTGATTATATTCATTATTATATGTTAATGGAAAACATAAATCATAACTGAACAATTATATATAAAATATATATGATTGCTGTCGTCATCATCGAAGGAAAGGAAAAATACTTTTACAAGTTTCCCAAATTGTTTTGATATCGGAGACATTTACTCACTTCCCTTTTAAAGTATCATCTATCTGTTGTTTGTTGTGTTTGTGTCGAACCAACAAATTTGTATTATAATATTCTCTCTACTGAAATGTATTATTTGCTGTTTTTCCTACGAAATTTCTCCTTTTTTTGGTTCGGATTGTGACATAAAAATTGTATAATTGATACGTAGATAAAGTTATCGGACTTAGAAGAAATCGTTTGTGGTCAAGAAGTGGTCTAAGTTTTTGTCATTATATTGAGAGTATTTAATTATTATTAAGTGTTCTTTTCAAATTTGCTCAGATAGAGCTTGGACAGTGGAGGTGAGCGTTTAACGTGCGTTAGATAACGGTCCTTTAAACCTACATCTGGGTGGCAAGTCACAGTCACTGTTGAAGCTCCTCTCCCTACAACGATGGACCAGGCACCCGCACGATGAATACATTGAATGAGTAGGTTTTGTCTCATTTCCAGGTGATGAAGCTCCGTCGTCCGTACAGCGTGAGTTCAGACAAGATGGACGTGTGTGTGTGCGGGGAGACGGTCGCCGTGGTCAGGAAGGAGGTGACCTTCTTGAAGCCGGTGCTGGTCATCAATGACTCGTCTGACAAGAACGTCATACGAGTCAAGGGCCCAGTCTCTATAACAGATGACTGCCACTTTGAGGTATCACAACATATGATTATACCTATATACGATGTTACCTAGCTAGACTGATGGAGACTCAAATCTTTATGGACTATAGAACAGACTTTACGAAATAATAATTTGTAAATTATTAAAAGTACACTGTTTAATATAAAACTTTTCATAAATATAATGTAATCATATTATTATATTGTAATGGCATATTATTAAATAAAAAAATGTTACTAAATAAAGATATACTAATAAAAATAACGAGCGGGAAGGTTAGAGTCGAACTGGTATAAGAAACCGTAACATTTATTTTAAAAAATAACGAGAACGACCTAAGAGTTGCGATTGTTAATGAGTTACTCGGATAATGAGTTTAACTGACAGAGTCCTGTTTAATCTTTAAGTATCGTACCTTAAGAAAGCGAAACGTAATCCATAACTAATTTTCACATACCTCCAAGCAATATCTATTATACTATAATATATATAACTTATAATTCGGAAGCTGTTATAAACTAAAACGATGTGGACCTGTAGCATGTAGTCTGTTCCAGTTGTTCACAGCTGACAAGAAGCCCCTGGGCGACATCAGCCGCCGGTGTCGTCGTGTGGGAGCCGAGCGAGACCTCTTCACTATCAACTTCCCTCTTCAACTGGATCCTCGCCACAAGGCTGCTGTTATTGGGACCTGCTTCCTCATTGTGAGTGATCTCGTTTCATATAGAAATGTGATCTAAAATAATTTGTCTAATAACATTAGTTTTAATATAATGTAACATGTTTTCGCAGAATTTCTTGTTCTACGAGAATTGAAGAACGTTCTGGAACTTGCACTCCTGTGATTGGTTTACTCTTATGAAAGTTCACGAAAGTTCACTTTTTTGATGATAAGAAGAGAAACCTGTTTCTTCAGTCTCACAAACCTGTTAAATTATAAAAAATTTTAATTTCAGAGTAAATTTTTATTTTTAGAATTAGTGCCATCTAGTATCGAGAGGCGAAATCTCAAAGAATTTAGTTGTAGTTTCTAGTTTTAATATACACAGATAGATGTCACTTAACTCAATATAATGTATATTGTGTTATTCTTTATTGAGAGTGACTGATTAATTTGACGTTTCATTTTAATGATTTAAATATAGTTTTTAGTGCATAAAATATCACATTCATAAAGATTTTGATTTCAGTAACAGTGTATGATAAAACATTGGTATCGATGTTCAAATATATATTTTTTTCAATCCTTCAGGATAATTTATTACCCTTTTTATTTTAACGTTCGAAAAACATCAGGTCGAACCCTCGCCAAGAGATTAATGAATATAACTACTTTTATTTGAGTTGTGGCTGTAGACTGTGTAAATGTTGGAACATGTAAAGTTGTACTGCGTACATATATTTATTTTATATCTACAATTGATGAAAGAACATAAGACCTTGGACTATAAATTAACAGAAACAGTGCAACAGTAACAGTTTCAAAATGTACAACAGTTGTAAATATTATTTCCTAGTTACCTTTATTATTCACACTTATGTTTGCTTATTGTATTAATCAGTCGAAATTAAGCTCATTATTTTTTCTCGTGAATTCCTTTTTTTAGTTCTCAATTATTGTTAAGATCTCATTGTTACATCCTTGTACTATCTAAATTTATTGATGTTTTCTCATTTCCTTTGTATATTAAAGTTTATCTTAATGTATGTATGTGATTGTTTACCGTAGTTAGTAACATTATGTAAACGGCTCGTCCGGAGATGATTGCACCATAAATGATTCGATTCCTGATAAATCCAACTCCTGTGAGCGGTGATCAAACTCAGTAATTGCGTTCGTCAACTGCGCCGGCTAGATTGAGAGGAAATGAATCTTCCGAATTCCTACATCAAAACTACGGCGATTAAACAAAACTTTTATATTAAGCTTGATTTTATTTGTTATTTAATATATATATTAAGTTATTAACTATGGTACGTGTTTTATTATTCCACTTCGTATGGTATTTATTGAATCTCAGCTAAAGTATTCAGTGACCGGGGACGAAGGAAGGTTCAGAAGAAAAACAAAAATAATACGCTAACTTCAATTAGCGGTGACGGAGGTCGGGCCCGGACACGCTGGACGTCTCATGGATGTAATATAATAAAGAGAAAATAAAACGGAGCTTAGATTTTATGATTAAATAATGAATAGTGGCCTTTAGCCCGGATCGAGTTTATAAGTACATGTTAGATTTATACAGATAATAATAAAGTAATGTATCGTGTTATTTAGAGACTCGTCCGCCATATTTAAACATGGCCGCTCCAAAGTCATCACATGGCAGCCATATTATAAAATATAGTACGGTACAAATTATATACGGATGCAACTTAGGGTTCAAGGAAAACTACGAAACTTATTTATATGTACTTATATTATAATGAGAATTATATATTTAAACTTATAACCTACACCTAAGACTACATGATTGTCCCGATGTTAGGATAGCAATACCATTCCATAGCTTGTGTGGTATCAGGAATCTTCTGGTTCACACGGCTTGGTGTTCGTTCCGCTGAGTCAGCAGCGTCACTCGTTATATATTTTACCCATACAAAGATGTCGCCCCGACGATGTTCATTTATTTCTTTGTATGTAGCGCGTACGTAACAATTAAATATTGACATATTTATGTAGTTTGTAGTACATTATATATTATATAACTTTAATATTTGTATTTCTAATTATAATTATAGCTGTATAAGATTGTTTCCATCACTGGAGATTAGAAAACCTTTATAATTAATAATAGTAAAGTTAGCATGGACTATGACGGATTATCGTTAAGTGTTGCTGGTAAGAGGATCCGTTTGTGTCGGGATGTGGACTTTACTTTACTTTAATGATAAATAGTAACAGTAAGTGAGAAATCACTGTAGTTCATTGGTTAGAGCAATATTTATAATACTATATATTGATTATTTTTACATTTCCAAAATCATTATTTATATTACGTTTCATATTAAAGAAACTCTTATAACTGTTTATAATTTTAATTTCAACTATCTCAAAGCAATGATATAAAAGTATTGTTACGTTTGAAGACATTTAGGTCGTATTTCAAATAGAATGGATGTCACTTATACAATAAATGAAGCTATGTACTGGGTAACCAAAACGTTAGTAATTATAACAATCAACCTTAAATTGATTAAATTATTTCATCATATTTTTTTCCCAATAATAAATAAAACATTTGAAATTAATGTTATTTATGAACGTTCTCAGTTTTTTATTTTTATACGAGATTTATTGAAAGGAGGAGAGAATTTGTAGTGAAAAGAGTTTGAAGAGCGTGGGATTTCATTAATATTAAAACTTTATAATACCAACTATATTTATTTACAGAAACATCTCGTCTTCAGGAATGAAAATAATATTATCAACGTTACTTTTATATTTTACTTTTAAATAAGAGAGAAACGGAATTTCAAGTAGCTTATGTGTTTTAGATGTAAAAATATTTGTACATATATGTAGTTTACTTTATACCTTTTTTAGTTTAAGATATATTAAATATGGGCTGTGTTTTATTATAAATACTGGGACAATAATATTTTGAGGTATGATTTATTTTAATAGAAATTCAATATTATTCAAAAAATAATAGTACCCTGTCCGAAGATTATATTCTATTTTTAAGAGGTTCATAGTTTCTTAAAAATTGTTACATAAGTATATAATACACATATATAACAAGTACATAATATACACGGTCATTAACGTAGGAAATCTTTTTTGAGGGCATTTTAACATTTAAGTTTTATTACATAACTTATGTTTGACGTATACAGTACAATACATTATTTATCTAGATATAGTATCTGTCTATATAAGCACCTGAGAGACTTCTCATCATTCAATGTATTCATCGTGCGTGTGTCGGGTCCATCGTTGTAGAGAGGAGCTTCAACAGTGACTGGGACTTGCGACCCAGGTGTAGGTTTAAGGGGTAGGTCTATCTAACGAGCGTTAAACGATCACTTCCACTATCCAAGCTCCTCTCTGTACCTAACCAAATTTGAAAAGAAACATTTGATAAATGTAAATAAATTTAAAATTTAATTTTAACAAAAAAATCTTTGTATTACTGACTTATTAAATATAATGTATATTGCATCTTTGGTTACAAACCAATCGCATCAGTTAGAGTTTTAATAGCCCTTCCTATTAGTTAAATTTCGAATACTTAAGTTATAACAGTATCCTTTCCATCTACAACGTCGGTACTTCTCTACTCCTGGTGCCTTCTGATAGCTGCTGATGTATTTAGTAAGAGGATGTAAGACTGACGGTAAATATATAAGCTTATTCATATTAATAAAAGATTAGAAGGTTAGTTAATTATTTATATAAATGTGATTTTTTCATTATTTTAAATTAATTTTTTGATGATATTCTACTAATATATTATTTGGTGTTTAATAAATCACAATTCTTATGAATCTGTTAAGACGTTCTATCATTATAATAATGATTACTCAGACTAAGTGGGTCTGTTATATGAAAATGATCATAATAATTTAGAAATAAATAGTTCAATATAAAAAAACATTAACCATTTATTTGTAAACAAAGGTTTGTTGGTTGGTTGAGATAGATGAAAGAATGTTTTAATTATCTTTTAATTATAATCAACGCTAGAATATTCACTTCACGAGGAGCGCATCCACTGAAAGGACTTTGATTTCATTTAAGAAGATTCCTAAAGACGGAAATTATGAAATAAAGTTTATATTTACGGAGACGTTATTCAATATTAGTTTATACAGAATAAACAAATTAAAAGAAAATTATTTTCAACTACAATTGTTCTGAAAATATTAAATGACTTCACTATATATTTATATATTAATGAGCTATTATTTATTTTATGACAGACATTACAGAGAAGGGTCAGAGTAGATAAGCTCTAAAAGTCAGCCAACGAAGTCATTCACCAAGATCGAACTCTTATACTGGATCTAGCTCAAACGTTATCTATCGAATTTATCCTTTCACCGCTCACCAGATATCTCATCATTACCAGATTACTGATTCTGATGTTTTAATGATGATGATAATGATAGTGATGACTCATGAAGGTTTAGTTTGACTTCATATCTTGTCTCCACCAGAGAAACGATGATCCTTCACTGGCTGGTAGGTAACGATCCACTTAATGTATCTTAAAGATCGATTTTGTAAAAGACGCAACTTCATTTTACAAGCACAAGATCAGCACAACGCTTTAAAATTGATAAAAAATATCTACAAAAGATTTAAAATTCAGTTCTTTGTAAGAAAGACCAAAATATATAATTTTTTTAATAAACAGACATTAACATAAAAAAGTTTTAATAGATATTAAAATAAAAAGGCTATTTTAAGCAACATGATTAATAGTACCCTTTATACATATTTATAGCTCATTCTATTATAAGTCTATTTCTAATGAAGGAGTTACATACAGATGCAATTTTAAGAATGATTTAATATCATGTATTTGAAATCAATTCTATACATGAGAGTGTAGGATTGTAATTACATTATGAATGGAAATCATTTGTATGATTGATATAAAAAACTTGGTGAACCTGATGACTGGCGAGGGTCAGCAGTCGTTGTTGTTTCAACGTTAGAGACTAGAAAAGTAATAAATCATTTAGTTTGAATATCATCAAAACAGCCTTGAGTCTGTTTAATGAATTCTTACTGATGTTTAACTATTAAATTTTAAACAATTCAGTTAAGTTTTAAACTATTTTAACTAATAAAGACCATAGAAAGC